TTTTTTTTTTTTTTTTTTTTTTTCAGTTTTTTGTTTCATATATAGTAAGTATATATCTTTTTAATTTGATTTTATTTCTTTCGTTTTATCACTCAAAAGACTCACACTATTTTGATATGGCTATGTTGTTGCTTAACCATCACGGAGAAAAATACAAACAACAACAAAAAAGGAACTATAACATTATAGAGTACGGACTAATAAAAGAGTCGTTGCTACACCTATCTTGTTAAGTCCAAGAAAAGTAGGGTTACTCACTCCCTTTCTTTTCTTTATATTTTTTTCTTTCTTCTTTTTTTTTTTTTAATCTTGTCTTTACCAAGGTTAATTTGCTCGACAAGAAAAAAAAAAAAAACGAAAGAAAGTTAAACAGTGCAGAAAGAAATAAGACGTATATATATATATATATATATAAGTATGCTATGTAAGTGTATGTGTATGTGTGTGTTCGTGTGCATATATATGAGGTGGGGGAAAAACGAAAAAAAAAAAAACATCCATTCCAAGACCACCCAGTACATCCTCTTTTTCTTTTCTTTTCCTTTTCAGGTATCTATTTGTCGGTATGTGTGCGTATGCGAAATCCATACAAGGAGAAAGAAAAAGAAGAAGAGGGAGAAAAAGAAGAGGAAATCGTTATTTACGCCTGGGCAATCATATCACGAGTATCTGGCATTAACACTGGGCAGCGTGATCGCCTTCCGTACAATGGACGCTGCAGCGGTAATTGAAAAGCCGAAGAAACCGCAGCATCACAGGAACCACTTAATTGCGGCATGGCGATCTCATCCAGGTACTCACACCAGACACGGCAGCGGAATACGTCAAAGGCTGCCCGTTGCAGGCGGCGGAAATCAACATACGAGCGGGATTCCCTGGCGATGATGACTGTTATCTTGCGGCTATCCAACTGGTACATGATATCCTGAATAAACGCTGGGCACTTCACCTGCTTTGCGAGTACGCGCATGGTGCAGAGTGCCTCCTCCTCCTTCTGAGCTCGTGCGTGGTGTTGTTGGAGATCCTCTGCGGTGGCAATGCGGCGTACGCGTTCCCCAGCATATGGTAAATTATTATTATTGTTACTGTTAATAGTTTGGGCGGTAACGCGCTGCACAAAGCCCAGATCCTCCCCGCGGTCTCCGTCCACGACGATGGCGTCCCCGACCTGCACCCTTGCGGTGGTGGTGAACTCCCTGCCGCCGTACTTGAAGGCCACGACGCCGGTGTACACGACCGTCGCCCCCGCGCCGCCCACCGTTGGGAGGATCTCCCGCGCGGGGAGGCCCTCCGGCGCCGACGAGGGCGTCGAGGCCGACGAGGAGGAGGAGTGGGAGGCGGAGTGCGGGAGGGACGGGGCGGCGGCCACGACGGCGGGGAGGGGCTCCAACACGCGGGCCCCGTAGGGATCGTGGCGGTAGCGGCGGATGGTCTTCGCGCCGTGACTCACACGGGGTGCGGTCATAGTAGTAGTGGGGAGCATAATGATTGGTTTGTGTTTTTTTCTGTTTTTTCTTTGCTTTCTTACTCTTTTCTTTTTATTTTCTTTGTTTTATTTTATTTTTTCTTACGGCGTATTTGTGCTTTTGTGTATTTTTAAAGATTTTTTTTTCTCTCGAAGCAGACGAGTGGGTACTGCTGGAAATCAAAAAAATAAAAATAAAAAGCAAATAAAACGCAATACAATCACAAGATTGAAAGAAAGAATAAACAAGAATAAAAAATATGGTAATAATAATACTACTACTACTAATAATAAACAATCATAACGAACAACAATAAATAGTAACAATAACAAACTATTAGAAATAATATGTAGCTGTAGGCATCCATGAAGGAGTACGGCTAAAGCATCATAACCACACCCACTCACACACACACAGACACCACTGTTATCACCGTCGTTCAGATCAAAACGAATAAGTGAAGTTCCTTCGGTGCTCACCCCATTCTCTTCATACATGCACGATCACAATGAAGAAGAAAAAAAAAAAATTGGGAGAATCTTATAACAATAATAAAAACAAATCCAGTTACTATGAGTCCTGCCTCTAGATCTGCAAAGAAAAAAAAAAAAAAAAACGAAAGAAAAACCGAAAATGCATTGCAAAATATGTACTTATCAATATAATTTAATTATACTGTTCTGCGTTATTGTTCACGCGGGGTAGTGCCCTCTTTGTTTTCGGCCCTCTTCTCTCCTTCTATTTCCACGCTTGTTGTCATAATTGGTGTAGTAAGTGTTTCTCCTATCACATCCGTACTTACCTTTCCATTACCATGTCTCTCCTCTAATATAGGCTCTTCAGTAACGATCACAATTCTCTGATCATCCAAATCCTGCGGTAATGCGTTCGCACCACAGCAAGGCCACCATCCAATTAAAATATTCATTTGCCAAGGAACCCCTTTTGGTCTGTGTGGTATAGCGAGAAAAGTTGTAATGGTTGCGTAAAAAGCGACGAGGATATCGTCCGTGTAGTGTGAACGTGATGCGATAATGCAATAGAAGCTGAAGGGAACAATAATACACGCTACGGGTCGGAATAACCAGTGGATCAATGGTCCATATGTCCACTGTATCATAAGGTTAAGTGTGATAATAATGGTGTGTCCACTGAACATGAGATCTCCACAGTGAATAGAACCAGATCCTAGCGTAACGACGGTGAGAAAGATATTCTTAAGCGGATTAGTGATAGGAACAGGATTCTGACAGTGATTATCTGTTGCTGGGTATGATGTCATGATAATCACCAGTGCGCGAAAGATAAGCATAATGGAATATGATGCGAGAAATCGCACACATGCAATGAGATGCACATCACGATACGGCATTTTGTCCACAATCCCTGAACTCCACACTCCGAAGACAAAACGACTAACAAACGGCACTTTGAACGGCAAATGCAGATCCTCCATACCAGCGTCTTTGCGGTGTAATAGATATAATTTAAACAGAATCACCACACTTAGTACGTTGAGGAGGGCAATGCAGGCATCTGTGAGCTTCTCTAGCCATCCAACCTTTGGGAAGATCTCAAATCCAATATCCGGCAGTGGACGCACAATCTTCGGGTCCGGCATGCGACCATTCGTGATGATCAGCGCAACTGCGAGGAGAATCACACATGCGAGAAAGACGGGAATGAGACGCAGTACCTGTGTGGTTAGGGGTAGCGGGCGGTACAGCCAGTTGAGCCGCATTTGGCAGCGTGTGACCAACCTTACTTACTCCATTAATAATAATAATAATAATAATAACAGTAGGAAAAGAGAACGAGAATTGAAAATGGAAACACAGAACACTAGTAGTCATCGTAATAACAGAGGTAGTAGTGGGTCTACAAAGAGGAAAAAAAAAAAAATGGAAAACGAGGGGGTGCGAACCACGGAACGTGCGGAGATGCCAATAAAGGAAAACTACTGGCAACAAAACAACAACATAAAAAAAAAAAAACCAAACAAGAGAAGAAAAAAAAAAAAAAGGTAGCAAGTTACTTGACAAAAAAAAAGCAATTTTGCACTCGATTCTATACAACAGAAAATAAAAAAAAGCAAGAATTATGCAGTTTGTACAGTGATATCACCTGGACATTTTTGGATCATTTATTGTCTGCGTTACAGTACGCGTTGGCATGTCTTGGTTTTCATCTCCACGGGTTATAATATTCGTTTCTGTTGTTGTAGGTGTAACTGTTGCCGTTACCGTTTCTGATTTGGTGTTTCTTCCTGTTCCTGTTCCTATTGACCTGGTGTTTGTTGCTGATGCTGTTGCTGTACCAGTGTTTATTCCTAATGTTGATGCTGATACTGTTGCCGTCCTAGTGTTTGTTCCTGATCTTGTTGATGATGTCGCTGATGCTGTTGCTGATGCCGTTGCCGTCCTAGTGTTTGTTTCTGATCTTGTTTCTGATACTGTTGCTGTACCAGTGTTTGTTCCTGTTGTTGTTGTTGATACTGTTGCCGTCCTAGTGTTTGTTTCTGTTTCTTTTGGTCGTGTTATAGTACGATTGTTAGTATTGTTGTGAGTACTATTCGTAACTGAGCGTTCGAACCGCACTTCCCGCACAATCGTTATTGTTCCCGCCAACACAATGCAGACAAACATGGTGACGAGTGGTATAATATGACCGTAGCGTATCAGACATCCATTTACATGCATACGCACAGCGGCAGCGTCGGTGTCCGTCATTGTTGGGAGATAAGAAATACTCCAAGCACAACTGCAAGTCATTGCAAAAGAAATAAACAGAGAAAGGATTAAAAAAAAAAAATAATAATAATAATAATAATAATAATAATAATAATAATAATAATAATAATAATAATAATAATAATAATAAACCCACAAGACTGAGATTTCCCGCGTTCCCACTCCACACCAAAAAGCAAATCACAACGCACCAAAAAATAGAGGGAGAGAACAGAGAAATAAACAATTACCACCACAAGCACAACAGTCCACGTAACGACAAAACAAAATACAAGTACACAAAAATATTCTCCCCTCACCTACGCGGCGCCAACAACTTCTTCTTTACTGCGACACTTGAATAACTCCGTCAGTGCATCTGCAAAAAGAAGACTCCCGTCACTACACACCGTCGCCACCCCTGGCGGCATCTCCCCAAAGCAACGGCACCATCGTTCTCTCTCTAATTGCGCTGCCAGCGGGTACGCACTGTTACTATGACTACTCCCATCACCAGCCGTATGCCGCCAGGGCCACCAGCTCCACCGTTTCTGTTGCTGCTGAAGAGTGACAGCATTCATCACACGCAGGAGCTCCAGCGTAGCGGCACCCACCTCTGTTAAAGGAATCACATCACCAGACAATTTATCGCGTTTGCTGAGATCCGACACGTAGTCCTCATATCGTTCAAGAATAGTTTCAGATGATATTAATTTTGAAAGCAACCGAGCATTGTCCTTGTGGCCTACCGCAAGCACACACAGTGTACGCACGGCGACATCATATGGAAGGACTCCACTCAGTGTTTTCTCTACTACTCCATTACAGAGTACCTCTGAAAGAAAGGAATCCCCATTAGCAACCTTGTTTGCTAGTTGGATTTCCTCCTTTCCATTTTCATCTTCAGAAATGAAGAGGTTTCGATGTAGGCTACACCAACTGTTAAAGAGATCTGAAATATAAAAATAGGGAATATCATACGTCACATGCTCTTCAAGCCACGCAATTTGATCAGATACAGCACATTCCTTCAGCACTTGTTCAAAGGTCCAGCGTTCTTCGTCAGCAGCATCACTAGAAAGACGTTCAATCATTGTTTTCAAAAAATCTTCAGGATAACAATACTTTTCTGTAAATGTAACAGGGAGAACGTTTTGCTGTAGGTAAAGTTGCATCTTGAGATTTGCCATGCGGAGCTGTCGAATATAACTCTCATCAATAAGTCCTTTTTCCTCAACAACACGATATGTCACCCAACCAGTAACAAATCCACCAAGTGGGAGTAGAATGTTTCGCCCAGCGGCATACAGACGTTCCCGTGCCATTTCACCTTACTCTTATCTTTACCGCACCATTCAAGAGAAAAAAAAAGAAAAAAAAAAAAGAAATGAAATGAAGAGAGACAAGGGGAGAAGAAATAGTTTAAAGAAAAAAAAAAAGAGGTAAAGGAATATTTGGTTTAGATGAAAAACCAGAGGTATTAATAATAAAAATAAAAATACGGCACCATCCGTAGATTTTTTGACAATGATGGTGGGTAGACCACCTTTTTATATTCTTCTTCTTTATTATCGAAGAAAACAAAAAAGAAGAAAAAAACCACACATATATATATATACTGTTTTTTTTTTTCTCCCACAGTGCTTGCAGTCATTCTAGAGTGCAGTTGAAGGATAATCCTACACAGCCACGTGAAATAAACATTAACGTTGACCCCTTATTTAGGGCCATGAAGTCTGGATAATTGCCGTGCAGCCCACCAACCCGTGAGTTTTTTGGCTAGTAAAACAGCCAGAATCAAGAATGCAAGTCGTCTTAGAATAGCAAACCACTTTCCTCTTCCTTTTTCTTTCCTTTTGAGAGATCTTCGGCCATGAGAGGTGCGCAAGCCACTTTTTCCACCTGTTATTCTCTGAGGCACTTGTACCCATTGACCGTTTTCATCCTTGTACCTGCCACATTTCAGCTGGTTGTACTGTTGACTCATTCCAATATAATTCCCCATAAACTGAAGAGCACTTCCAAAGGTCATTTGAATTACACCTGCAAACATTCCACACATCTCCAAAAGACGCCCCACCAGCATGAATGTCATCTGACTACGCTGAAAATCTTCCGGCAATCCCATTCCCATTCCCATACCATACATTCCTCCCATTCCAAGACCACCATACATACCTCCCATACCAAGACCACCATACATTCCTCCCATACCAAGTCCACCATACATACTGCCCATTCCAAGACCACCATAAGTACTGCCAAGACCACCATAACCCATTCCAGATCCATAGCTCGATGCGTACTGATTGGAGTAATCCGTGAGATTATTTGTAGATGCAACCTGGTGGGAGCTGCTAGTTCCCGTGGAATTTTGTGGCACTACTGCTGCTACTGTACCTGCTGTTGTTGCTGTTGTTGTCGGTGATGAGACAACTGGGAATGCAGGGCTGTTCACATTTCCTGTAGTGGGACTTCGTGCCACCATTTGTTCTGTCCCAGGGGTTACCGGACTGGACGGTGGTGTTCCGTTCATATTTTCCCACGGTTTAGCCAATGTGGTGGTACTCATTCTCTCTTGATATAATGATCGTTTATCCTATTTTTACTTTTTTTTTCTTTTAAACTCGCCTTTCTACCTATAGTAGAGCACACCACTCACCAAAAAGATCAACAATGGTTATTGAAGACACACACACACACACAAAAAAAAAAAAAAAAAACAGGAACAGGAGTAAAAAAAAAAAAAAAAAAAACAGGAACAGGAGTAATTGGGAAAAAGTGTAGAGTAAAAAAAAAAAAAAACAACAATCACAGCTTAAGTGCTCGTGTAAACCTCGAGCATCAACAGAAAGGAATCGAAGTCTCCTTTCTATCTTCTCATCCTTTTTCTAACGCACAATATTCCTCCTGTCGCTGATAAATTAATATATGATTTTTTTTTGTAGTTGGTTTGTTTTCGTTTATGCTACGAAAGGATTACAGTATCACTGACGTCTTTTTTTTGTTTTTGTTCTTTTTTTGCATTTCAATGCATTCTTTCTTTTTCCTTCAGGATATCCTTCGTGCCTTAAAAAAACAACAATAGCAGTTAATTTTTTTTTTTTTTAATACCTTCTCGCATTTTTTTTTTCTTTCTTTTCTCTCTCTCTTTTTTTTTTTTTGTTTTTCCTTGTTCTTCTCCACGCACAGAGGTCAGGCCTATCCGTCGTCCACATCCATTTCACGCGTTTACTCTCCCCCATATATATATAATATATAGAGAGAACTACTCCATCCCATGCCCTTACCTTCAGGAACCACCAAAACCATGAATTCGCACTTCATTGCCTTTCCCCCTCTTACACCTTCGCCAACAACAAGCGAATATAGTGTATGACGCATTGAAATGCGAAGTAAAAAAGGAGCATACAATCAAACAAAATACGACCAGGAGAAACGCAGCTTTGGATGGGGATGAACAAAAAACGTACATATAAAGCTATGGATATAAATATATTTCTCCATTTTCGCACTCAGATTTCCTTCAATTTTCTTTTTCTTCTTCCTCTGCGCTTGTTCTCCCCCTTTTTCTTTTTCTTTTATCACGAACGGCTTGAGTTTGCTTTCGGATGAATGTACGGACACTGATCCCCATTTCTACACGTACCTTTAGTGAAAAATCTGCATAACGCCTGACTACTTCCGTCACTGTGACGATGAGAGTGGTAGCTGTGGTGTCCGCCACGGCCGCGTCCTCTGGTGTGTCGCAAACTCTTGCGGTGATTCCTGGCCTCTTCAGCATCGATATCTTCTTCATCTCCTTCCCCAAAGCTACTGCGATGGGGATTGCCTTGGTGCTGCTGTTGTGGGTAGGGGTGAGTGTTTCCACTTACCTTATGGCGCGCCTTATTGGTGGCACTGTCCTCAGCTTCATCAGGACGACTTGTTGGTGTTGCCGGAATTCCGTCAGCTATGTCACCAGGAGGCACTCGATAGTATTCCTCCAGAACAGCAGATCCTATTTTACGAACCATCTGCAAATCGTTCTTGTGATCTCCCATCTTACAGTACACCAAATTAGGCCTTTGGGAAGATGTCCCATGCTGTAGCACCTTACCATATTTAGAAACCTCTTCCAGAACACTCGGCATTTGTGTAGTAGTAACACCTGAAAGCCAAATGACTGCCTTACATTCACCTCCTTTACCAGATTGTTGTTGTTGTTGTTGTTGCTGTTGCTGTTGCTGTTGTTGTTGTTGTTGCTGTTTACTCTGAGATGTTCTAGGTTGGGGAACTTGAAGCACCGTTTTGCTTGGACGAGAGCGTCTACTCGCTGAGTTCTCTTCTTCTCCATCCTGTGACATATTATTGTGAATAGCATTGTTGTGAATAAAGTTTCGTAATTCATTCATCTCAGGACCATCCTTCTCAGATAGTGGTTTTTCGTTGGGGTGCAAAATAGCCCAAACAAATTCCCGATGATTAGCAGAAACAAGTTCTTTTTTAATATGCTCATCAAATATTTCACGTGGGATTGACATTAAATCCTCTAATGTAAGAGATGTCTTAACGAGTGCGTTGATGACATTCTCAGGTACCATATGATTGCGAAGGAAGCAACGAAGCTCATGTACTCCTGAATGCATTGAGGTCGCTTGAGATGATGTCCAGTTCATATCTTCGTCGCTAAGCGCATCAATAGACATAGGAGCAGCAGCTGATGATGTCGGATGTCGATATTGTTGTTGTTGTTGTTGTTGTGGTAGTGGCATCATCGCTCGTATCGGCTGAGCGTGATGAATTGAATGATGATGCGTAGGTATCATCAATCCATGTCCACCATGTGAACTCGTTTCTCCTCCACCTCCACCAACTCCCACTGAGATTCCTCCTCCTACTGAAGCTGGTGCATTCGTTTGAGGAGATGCCGGAGGTGGCACCCTAATAGGGTGGGCAGAAATATGATGATGAAAATGAGGCCTAATAGGCGCTCCTGTCGTTGCTGCTGCAGCTTCAACGTTATGTGTAGTTGTCGGTTTCGGCTCAGGTGGGGCTATAGGTTCATGCTTCATAACTTGATAAGATGAGTGTGGTGGGGTAGACACTCTTGGCATTATCGAGTGTTGAAGTGGAAGTTCATGCGGAAGCGGCGATTGTTGTTGTTGTTGTTGATGTTGTTGTTGTTGTTGTTGGTGGTGGTGGTGGTGGTGCTGTTGGTGAAGAAGATGATGATGATGATGATGATGAACCACTACCCTTTGAGAATTTGGAAGAGGTGTTGTTGCCGGTGGTTGTGGTGTTAACTGTGGAGTTACCTGCGCAGTAGACTGTGGACTCAGTGGCTTTGACATAGAACCTGGTGGCACAAAATGTGTAACAGAATGTCGATGCTGTACGAGAGGTCTGGAGCGCGTTGGTGAATTCGGGGATGGAATCTGATGATGCTGTTGATGTTGTTGTTGTTGTTGCTGATGTTGATGCTGAAGCTGATGTTGATGTTGAAGCTGATGATGAATCTGATGAGGATGCTGCAACAGATGATGATGATGATGATGGTGCTGGGGATGATGATTTAAATGTGGTGTTGGGGTCGGTGGTGAGTTCGGCGTATGATAAGAAGGCTGCGGTACTGTCATGGAGTCTTGCTGTGGCCCAGTAGAAGACGGTGCACCAGGCCATACCAGACCACGTGAATGCGGTTCATCAGGCTCTTGTGTATTAAGCTGCATACGATCCATAACCCTTTTGTGAGGTCCCTGCGGTAATGGTAGACGCGGGAATGGCTCTCCTTGAGGGTTTTCTTGATGTTGCTGCTGATGTTGTGGTTGTAATCCCAATGGACCACTCCCTACTACCACCTGATGGTGGTGGGCTACATTAGGAATTTGATGCCGTTGTTGGGGGTACTGGTTAAAGGGGACGCGATGATGTATGTGGTGATGATGATGATGTTGCTGCTGTAGATGAACAGATGCGTCACGGTCGTGATCTGCAAGTTGTTTTCTCTGTGCATTTACCCAACCGGAATTTGCCATTGGCATCACATCCTCCTCTGGTTGACTGGAAACTGGCGCATTATTGCTTTCCGTGTATGTATTAGGGCCACGAACAATCTTTAGATCGCCTGATGGCTCCATTCGCCGTTCCTTGTAGTAGTCTGCGTAGGAGGGACGCACGGTGGCGGCGGTGTTGCTGGAAGCATTCGCTGTTGCCATTGTGTTGGTGTTTGCGGGGGTGTTGTAGCTTGTCTGCGCGCCACGCACATTTTCATTTGGCACACCGCTATAGTTACCAGAGACACCACCACTTATACCAGCCCCAACAGAGCGTGAGGTTTGGGGGTTCATGTATCCTTGAGCGCGTTGGACCAACGCATCTAGTGCAGCTGAAGAGAGAATAGCTTGAAACAAGAATACATCATCCGCAACTTGCTCAATTATAGCCCCCAACATTCGGGTATGATCAGCGCCGTAGTTTGGTTCCATAATAGAGAACAACATATCCACTAATTGTCCCCGTAGTGCGCGTGGATCCGTTTCGCTTCTAAGGATATCTATTAGCAGACCCGCTATCAGAAAAAAGGCTGAGTACATCTCCTCCACGCTACTATTGATCAGCCCACGTCGGAACACCTCACGCTCCAACACACGTGACATGACACCAAAGTTCTGTCGAATGTGCAGAAGAACGGCCGGTGTGTGGTCGTTATTCTCCTCCTCGGCAACGGGCCCATCACCGGAGTCCCCACGATTATCATTACCATCAGCATTACCATTAGCATTACCATCATTACCATTACCAGCAGCCACAGCCGCCGCACGCTCTACCTGCTTTTCATCCGCGGCATTCAACGGCGGCATGTTTCTCTCCGCTGTGTCCCTTTCCTTGTCGCTAGAAGACATGGCACTACCACTGTGGGGAGGAACAATAAGCAAAGGCCTAATTTTATTTATCCTTAAATGGAGGGCACTCCCTAAAAAAGTTCCCACCCCCCAGAAATAAAAACAAACAAACCACACAAACACATCAAGAGAAAAGAAAAGAAAAGAAGAAGAAAAAGAAAAAGAAGTCAATCTATTAGAGAACAAATAGATAAAAATCAAGAACAAAAAAAAAAAAGGAAAAACACCACTTTTTGTGCTTATTTTCCCTTACATAGTAGACACGAAACACAGTCGAGTGTTATCCATATATCTTTTTTTTTTTTTTTTCAAGCTCGTCATTTATGTCCACACCTAAAATCGTGTTACGAGATTCCCATGTACTGACTTTCAAAAATCTTTTTAAATCAAAATAAGCAATATATCACGTGTATCACGACGGGGCTACGGGACTTGTTTACTCAATCGTTATTTGCCTCCATACAGCTTTTTTTTTTTTCCTTGACAGACATTAGCTGTATGACTCCATGTTCCCTCTTTCTCTCTCTCGCTCCTTTCTTTTTTCTTTTTTTTTTTGTTGCTTTTTTTGCTTTGCAAAAAAAAAAAAAAAAAAAAATGCAGTTAACTGATTCGGATCATTTAATTTTTTTTTCGTTTCTTAATTCACTTCTGTTTCTGATTTGATCCCACTTGAAATTTTTTTTTTTTGGTTTTATCCATATGTTTTTTTTTTTCCTGTTGCCTCAATTTGAGGATCTTTTTTTTTTCTTTTCTTTTTTTTTTTCGTTGTTGTACCTGTAAACACTCATAAACTCTAAGAAGAAGATAAGACCCGTACGCGTCTCTTTCATTCCCCTTTTTATAATGTTTTATTTTTGTTCGTCTCTCTCGTTTTAATAAAATAAACTTATATACATATATACAATATGTATATATGTGTACAAATAAATTTATTACTGTGATGGCATTGTACGCGGAAAGACACAGGAAAAAAACTTTTTATTTCATTTTCTTATTCTGTACACCTGCTCTTGCTGCTGATAACAATGATGCTGTATACATACAATTTGTGTAGATATAAATTAATATATCCCAACTTGACTTCCCTCACCTCCCTGAAGACATATCTCTCTTTTTTTTTTAGGTTTTTACTTTTTCTTTCCTGCGTGTATTTATGTTATCATTATCCAACATCAGAATAACTTTAAATGATATCCGTTCTTTCTTTTTCTCACTGTACGCATGTTACATGCGACTTATTTCTCAATTTCCTTTTTCCTCTTTCCTTTCTTTGTCTTTGTCTCAAGATCTACATACATTTATATATATATATGCATGTATGCATGTATGCATGTTTTTTTTTTTCTATTTTCCCCCTCACTTCTCAAACACTTTCTTTTCTCATACTCTTCATACCGACATTTCCCCTCTTCTTCTCTTTTCTTTCATCACGCTAATTATCCTTGACGTCGGCTGTGGCGAGTATCAGCAGCAGCAGGAGACGGTGAAGACGCAAAGCAGACAAAAGGTCAAAAAAAAAAGAAAAAAAGGAAGGAAAACAATATATATATATAAGGATGAATAGAAATGAAAAAAAAAAGAAAAAGTATTTGAAAAGGGGGGAGTAGGAAAAAGAAAAACAAAAAGAAACAATGAACAAAAAAATGACAATGGTAAATTAGAGACCTTGTACCGCGTTTTCTCTTCTTTCGCTTGGATAATTTACTGTTCTTAACTAAACTTTTTTTGTTGTTATTATTATTATTATTTTTTTTTTTTCACCTCCTACTTCTCATAATATTCTCTGCTTTTTTTTTTATATTTTATTTACTTCGTTCCTTTCTAATGTTTTCTCTTTTTTTTTTGTTCTTTGGGCCTAAATGCACAATGTAAAAAACCCATTCTTTTTTTTATTTTTATATATAAATAAATATATATATTCTTGACTCATTCACTCTTCGTTTCGCTCTACGTTACAGCGGCAAACTCCATTCTTCTCTTCCCTGTTAGTTTCTTAAATATTCTACTTCCCCCATAACTGAAGAAAAAAAAAAAAATCTTTCTGACTTCAAATAAACACACACATATATATACATATATATATATATACTTATAAGCTTGTAGAACGTAACATATACATGTGTACATATATGCATATACATGAACTTGCAGCCCTCATAATACAACTACAGAAAAAAAAAAAGAATCAAAAACAAACATTGTCACTTCACAAGAGCACACTTACACAAACAGAGAAAAAAAAAAACAAAGAACGAAAGAAACACCGTAAAAAAAAAGGAAGAGACGCTCTGAACGACTGAGCACAAAGTAAAACAGAAGAAGGGGTAAAGAAAACAAAAGATAAAAAAAAACATACCTGGAAACTGTACGTATATATGCATATATGTCCGTATGGATGTGTGTAATGTGTGAGGTCATAAAAATGTATGAGAGTTAAATAGATAGATAGAGAGAGAGAGAGAGAGAAATCAAAACAGTCACGGCAAAGTTGGAAAGCCCATAAATAGCAGGAAATATCGTTCCTCTGAATATAAAATTATTCTCTGCGCAATATAAAGAGAAAGAGAGAAAGAGAAAGAGAGAGAAAGACACATGGAGCATCTACTCCATTGCATCTCCCTCTCTCATCTCCACCTCTCATCACCAACTCCTTCCCTCTCTCCCTCTCCCTCTCTCTCCCTCAGCCTCTCAAGGAGGAACAAAAAAGCACATACACAGATACACACATATACATACATACACATATACACATACACACAATATACACACACACATATATAAACATATTCACAAAAGACCACTTTTTTTTTTTCTTTTTCTTCTTCTCCGATCCAAAAGCTAGCTTTTCTCACTACAACGCATGAATGCGTACACCTAATGTTTACACTGTGATCGGTGTCCGTGTCTATGTGTGTATGTATGTGTGCTGGTGATGGCAGCTAAAGCCATTACCACAATGTCTCTGCCAGGCCACGCACACTGCTGTCCCATGGGATGGAAACACTCTCTTGTTGTTGTTGCTGCTGTTCAGTCGTCGACCGGATCTCCGGGATGGCGCATGTACCCCACACCGGATCACGAAACACAACGGCGTCATCGCCTTTGCCAATAGTGAGCGAAGAGAGCGTGACGTGCCGTGTGGGATCAACGGGTGGGCACATGCCACTCGTGAGATTTGTGGTCGTTGCCACTGTGGTGGCAGCAGCTGTGGCTGTTGTATTTCCTGTTGTCTTCGAGGTGGAGGCCACGCCAAAGCCGAGGAGCGGTGCGAGGAGAGCGTTGTTGGTGGCCATATTCTGCAGCGGTGTAGTTAGGGTGACGGTGGGTGTGGTGCTGTGCGAGAAGGGGCAGTCCACACTGAGGCAACCCACTATGGAGCGGAAGAACATACACTCCACGTAGCCACGTTTTGCATTTGCCAGCAACGTGTCCCACTTGGCGCTCGTTGTTGTCCGCCGGACAGAGTAGAGTTGCATCATGGACCAAAACACCGCGGGCTCTCCGACGAGGAAGAGAAGTCCACCAATGCGAAGCTGCTCATTCCCCTCTAGTTCTATTAACTGCTGTTGCAGTGCCTCCTCTGATAACAGCCGTGGAATGAAAATGGGCGAGGATGAGATACGAAGCTGAACCATATGCCGCTGATAACCATCCGTGGCGCTGTATGGTTTGATCTCAAACTCCCCGTCCAGGGCGGCCTTCAGAATGGCATGGCGTTCCTTCTGCAGTTGCTGCTGCTGAATGCGGATGAAGGTCTGGTTCACCTGAACATCATCCACCGCCGCCCGCTCCACATCATGTGAGAAACGGCAGGAGGACCCCCACGTGCAACGGCCGCGAGCGAAATGGCGACAGACACGTTGACTTTTGGGAGCCGCTGGCGGTACACTTGTGCGCAGGTTTTCAGTGATGATTTGTGTCATTGTACTTTAGCACCACAGAAGGTTTTACACAGCAGAATTTTTTTTTCTTTACGAAGAAAAAATATTACTAACTAGAGAGTGTCGATGAATCTACACAGAGGATTTAAAAGAAAAAAAAGAAGGAGAAGCCAGATTCATTCAGAAAGGGTCACATACACAAAGAGAAACAGAAATAGCGTAATATTCAGCGATGAGTGAACACAATTGTATTTTAAATATATCTACAGAGGAGGAAAAAAAAAAAGGAATGCAATTTAGGAATACAGGAACGATAATCAAAAAAAAATAAGCACAGAAAAAAAAAAAAAATAACAATAATAACAAAATGTCAAAAACTATACTATCAGTAATACACTCATAGCTTCATTATAGATTTATTCTCTCATTATTTATTTATTTATTATTACATAAATTTTAATCCTTCTCTTTACACAATTGCAGGGCTTTAAGTTGAGCGCGAAGACAACGTTCAGATCCATGCTGACAGAGTCCATAGCGTAAAAGCAGAACACATGCTGTCCATGCATTCATCGCTTTCGTTTCCTTCGCAAATTCCCCACACAATATAGCGTAATGTTCCAAAAGTGATATCACCAGAGTAGCGTGCTGTTCAAATAATGGCTCCACAACGATTTTCTCCTGCCAAAGGAGTGTATTTGCACTCTTGTGATTGTTGTTATTGTTATTATTATTGCTCTGGTTATCCAAGAGTCTTTCTCGAAGATCAACAGTCAACACACCTTCGCGAATCTCACAAAGGAGAAGTTCCGTTATAAACCATTCCGGGATGGAAAAGGTGACTTCTATCAGTTCAATAAGCAATTCACACAAAAATGAAGAAAGTAACTCCCTTGTGACGATATCCAATTCAGAAATCCTAGACCTTGAAAAAACGGCTAGTTGAATCGACCGAAGTAAGTAAAGGTAATGGAAAGGACTAATAAGAGTGTCTGCTTCACCTAATAAGATATCTTTCAGTCGTTTTACTTCTTTCATTACTACCTTTGCTACAGTTAAGGTTTCTCCTTCTATAGCACCATTCCCAGTTAAATCAACAGCATCCACTTCTTTTCGAAATCCCTCCTCATCATGAATAGCATCTAGTACACAATTGTCATCAAAACGGTAGGATTTTTCTACCTTTTCCAAACTCTGTGAACTCTGTGGATGTAGTAAAAGTAAACACCATGATGATCCTTTCCCTCTTGGGCAAAACATTTTCTTCACTACTCTTCTTCTTCCTGATTCATACTTCTCACCTAAAATAAACATTAATCGTGTCGTATCAAGTCCATTTGTACAGTGCTCACAGGCGCAGAAAAAGAAAAACTTTCGTTGTAATCGTTTTTGCCTCTCATCTCTTGAAAGAAAAGTTGGCAAATATGCAATAGTAATACGCTCCCCAATGGCAATCGTACGAGTAGCCCGCAACTCTGCAAAAAGAACACTCTCTGGAGTACACCCTTGACGGAATACCACAACAGCATTAGGGTTACAACTATGCTCAATCATTGAAAGTCCACCAAACACAGCTATTCCTTGTTCAAGACCACCAAGGTGTACACTACCATTATCATTATTATTATTATTATTATTATTATCGTTCGTAATGAGACCCCCGTAGCTCATGCCATTTGTCAATAATGTCACAAAAAAGTTTAGTAATCTCTCTTCATTTCCAAGAGATGATGAGATTGAGGATGGAAGGCTTAGCCAAAAAAAATGTGCCAACTCAGCAAGTTTTGATAACACTACTGGGTCCACATCCTCTACAGGACAACCAAGTTCATCCCACCTTCCTATAAAATCATCACTCTTCTCACCAAATACTATTTCCGTTAACCAGTGATAGAATGGACGTAAGAGACGAGTGTCCCATCCCTGAGTTGCAAAGACAGCAGACTGCTTCTCTACTACAGTCATCGTTTCACGGATTACAGGAGGAAGAAGTGTTTCATCATCTGCCTCACTCTTCGTAATGGGTGAAGTAAAAAAAGGTGTTTCTACCATTATAGTCTCACCACGACGCACCATATGCATTGACACAAGTACGCGACCCACACTTGGTTCTGGACTTTGCATGATAAGAACATCGTTTCCCACTGCCCGACGACGTGGTGCGTTCGTTTCAGTCTCTCTATATGGAAGGAAACAGTGACGAAGGAGTAATTCCGGTTGTGGTGCTACTCGTGATAACCGCGACGGTGCTGGCCGCTCTTTGTATGTTGATGAGTTTTCATCACACCAACGCACAACTTGTCTTGAGATAACATCCTCAAACACCACACGATCTTTTCCCACCGCTGGAGGGTTTGAACATGAAATATCAGAGAAGGGTTCATAAATATACTTATTCTCTGTTTCATACTCTATTGGAGTGGTTTCTATTTCAGGTATTGCAGCCGATATCCAGGCCTTAAATTCAGGAGGAAATAATGCAAGCTCCAGTCTACGTCGATGTTCACGAATAGCAAGACTATGATATTCTAGTTCTTCAACAATTTGTCGCCGTTTATAATCTAGCGCAAGCCATTCACGATAAAAACGTTCAAGGAGGGCACTTATTTGAATATTTAGGAGTGTAAGTGTGGTATATGCTGTACGTTCATCCTTTAAGTGTTGCTCCAGAGACATATTTTGAGAATATGACATTGCTGATACTGGTATTTTTTTTTCCTTTGTACAACAGATAATCTAAATCCAAACACATGGATATTTTAAAAAAGAAAAAAAAGGAAAATTGCAAGGAAAAGAATAATAATAATAATCAGAAACCACAACCACAATAAGAATAATAAAAATGCGATTTGCAATGTCCTTATCCCCATTTATTCATGGTTCTTGCAACTCCAGAAAGAAAGAGAAAAACAAAGGGGAAAATGGGCGCCCACAAACAAAAAAAAAAATAATCATCAGACAAGGTAAAGATATATAACTCACCTCTTCGGGTGATGCTATTCTTTTCTTCTCCTTTCGCTTTTTTTTTTTTTTTTTTTTTGTTTTGATTCCGTTTCCTCACCGTTTTTTTTTTTCTCATTCTCCCGCTTTTTTTTTTTCCGTTTCCTTCCTCATGCCTTTGAAGAAAGTTTCTTCCCATTTCATCCGCATTATACACAAAATGAAGCCGAATGATCTGCGTGGGTGTATATATATATATATATATTTTCTGCACAAAGAAAGATTGGCTATGGTATTGAACCCCCACTATCACATTAATTCAAGTAACTCTCCTTCACGAGTGTAGATATGGATACATACACATACATACATATATACATATCCTATCAATTACCAGCTACGAGCATTACTAATATCCTTCTTCACCACCACTTGAGCACCATTTCCAGTGGGTTGTTCATCATTTAAGGTAAACTTAAGCGGTTTCTTATCCTTTCGGTTATTACTGAAGAACAATCCCAATTTACGGTCCATCTCCTCATCTTGGGTGAATGGCACGGATGCTGCTGCATTAGATGCTGGAGCCTTACGCGCCTTTGGCTGGTTAGTGACAGTCTGGAAACCCAGTTCCTTATCAATGAGCATCTGCTTTTCCGCAGCGTGCTCAGAGACATGTGTTTGGGTCTTGCCTCTGCCGCTGTTGCCCTCCTTTCGGAGGTTCTCCAGCAGTGTTGGCTGCGCGACCCGAATGTCGGATCGCATCGAAGTCGTCTGGCGGGCGACCTCGCGGGCGATGAGATCCTCCGTCTCGCGGTCGAGTTCCGTGTCGTTGCGGCGCGGGGTTCTTACCGTCTTGCGGGCGCGGGACTTTCGCTCCTCCGGCGGCACGGCGGCCACCGCCACCACCTCTGCGCGGTTGATGCTCTGGAACATAAAGTACACCACCAGCAGGCCCACGAGGGCCACAGCAATAGCAACAAAGTAGTCCAGCATGCCTTCTTATTCAGAGAGGGAACCCGGTCTCACAATGTGGGGGAGAAAGATTGTAGGGATGTAGTGTTTTTTTTTTTTCTTTTCTTTCCTTTTTCTTTTTTTTTTTTACTGTGTACATCACAAATACAGAATATGTGATGGTAGAGGTTGAGAGGGAGGAGGGTAAATAGGAAAAAAGAATGATTTGAGTGAGTATAGAGGTTTTTTTTTTTTTTTTTAAAAAAAAAGAGAATAAAAGAATATGCAAACACAAAGGGGTAAAAAGAACGAGGGAAAAAAGATAATGGAATAATCTGTTGGGGAGAGAAAGTGAAAAAAAAAACAAAAAAACATGAAGGTACATGAGGAAAGATAAAAGAAAGGTCTCACGCACGAGTGGAATCACTAAAAAAAAAAAAAAAAAAATATATATATATATATATATATATATATATCACTGTGCAAAGTATACCACAGTCAGGCACCTCCAATCACAAGAAAAAAAAAAAGATACTTTAAATATTTCTATTTAATATTTCCTTTTCCTCTTTTCTTAATTCTATCTTGATCAATTTTTTATTTTTATTTTTTCTTCTGGCATTTATTCTTCTTCTTAATTCGCACTACCCGTTTTTTTCTACCTGGAGACCAATCAAACTCTACCATTTCCTTTATTACAATTGCACCATCCAATATTCAGTTACACTCTAACTTTTTATTATGTGAAACTGCTAGTTTGTTAACACATCAACCCCTTTACCCGTTTCTGAGTTAATAAGAAAAGTGCAGATACCTCACCTTGTCGCCCTTGCCTGCATTCGCACTGCCGATGCCAAGAGATAATTATTTCGAAGAACACCATTTGTAAAGTATGGCAAATATGTGAGCACATTCTCCGCTGTAGGAAATATCCGACGAAATCCTCCAGCACATGCCAACTCTTCTTCTGCCTCCACCAAAAGAAGGTGTTCTGCAGTTGATAAAATAGAATCAGGATCTTTAGGGTCATTAAAACGACTGAGTAGGGGTTTTCGCACAAGTTCTGAATCTCTGAGAGGGTGTCGCCCAAATCGGTAGCGCACATCATGGCGTTCTGAAGAATTATCTCCCAAATCTGGTGGAGTGAATCCTGTAGCGTTGCGTTGGTGTGGAATAACACGAATAAGGGTAAGTAAATGTGCTAACATTCGTGATTTAACAGCCTTGTCAAGAGGAGTTCCTGTAGCCAAAGAAGGCATAATATTAACTTCAATAAGTCTTACATTATGGTTATCATCTACCATTAGGTCTAAACCATATAACTCAAAACACCCACGTCCTGTTTTATCTCTACATTCTCGTCTTATTCGTTCAACCACGTCATTTTCAATACTAAGAAATGCTTTAATAACTGCATCTTCACATCCATGCATAATTTTTTCCCATATTTCTTTACCATCCATTTGGTTTTTAATCAAAAAATCACGGAAATCAGAGAGGCACCACTTTATGTCCAAAGGATCATCTGAATGATATTCCTTTCCACGACTTGCAATATTTAACTCAGCCGTTTTATTTACAGAGTAATTAGTTAAATGCATATGAATATTATCCAAATCCTTGTCCATACCAGGGTACTTTTGCGCTGCAAATCTAACTAGACCTTCATCAAAAATAAAAATACGTAATGGGTCAAATGACGTTACTACACAGTAAAGACGAAGGTCAAACTTTCTTCCGTAAATTAACATGGGATTTCCTACGTAACGTTGACATACCATTTGTTTAATTCCTGATGGCATAGGTGGCATTCCACGATACAAATGAATTCCACGTCCACAACTAGAAGCACTTGGTTTTACTATAAATATAAGTGGATCATCATTAGTGTCAGGTTGACATTTTACATATTCTTCCAGTTCATCCCATTGTTTAGGAATAAGGAATGTTGTAGGAATAATGTCAAAAGTATCAGCACCAAAGTAACGTTGCATTTTTGAAATATTAATTGCCAAACTATCCTTACGCCCAACTCCCCAAGTTCCAGGAAAATGGTTAACTTTTTGATAAGGCCCCAAATGAGATAAAGTATACGGGGTTGCTCGTTTAGCCCATATGACATTAAAGAGTTCATTTGAAGGGGTATATTTCATACCTGCCGCTTCAAAAGCATCTATAACCACCTTAAATGCCACAACACCTGGACCAAGTTTATACAAGCACATTCTGTTGAGGTTGTTCTTTTGAACAACAAGAGTATTAAATCTAAGTTGAACTCGATCACGACCGTGGTATTTAAGATTAATTTGAGCAGGGCTCTGACTATTATTTATCCTGCTCTGTGAACGATTAGAGTAGTGTATAGGAAAGAATAAACTGGATGAAGAGAATGGATAGATTGGTTCCACTACTGTGTACGTTGTCTTCTCCGTCTCTACTGCTCTACACGCCTGTGGTATCTGTTCCTCCCCCTGCCCCTGTTGTGAGGAGGTGGATGAGGAGACGGAGGAGCAATCAATCTCTGAGGAGCGGGAGGAGCGGGCGGGGGGGCCGTCGCGGCGGGGGATCATCGGAAGCCGCTGGCGGGATCGGCCCGGGCGACCGGCGGGGCGGGGGACGTGTTTGGGGTTCGACGGGTCCTCGTTGTTCGCGTCGGGGACAAATTTCCCCACGACGAGTCGCTGCCCGCGGCGCAGGGCGTACGTCGTGGCGGTCGTCATCACGTCGGCGTCGCCGCGGCCATCGCGCTGCACAAATGCGAGGGACTGCGGGTAGAAGGTGAGAAGACTCTCCGGCGGCGGGAGCACCTTGCCGGCCATTATTCCACACACGCACACACACACACACACAGAGTAAGCGAGTAAGAGAGTAAAAAAGGGAGAGGGAGAGACTTCACCCGCAGCCCTGTCCTACCTTATGAAGGTGTGAGTCTGAGTAAGCACGAGAGAAAGAAGAAAGACGCAGAGCAGAGTGTGTACACATCAGGATGGGAATTTGAAATCAGAGGCAAGAACACTTCATTACAAGAAACAAATAGATAAATAGGAAAAAGGATTAAAAGAAATGATAAAACAATAAAAAAGAGAGGAAAGATGAGTACGCAACTCCTAGATCCATTCAAATACATCGCAGAAACACACATGACGTTTTTCTAGACTGGCATCGTAAAGAAGCTTAAAGGAAAAAAAAAAAAAAAAAGCATCAGGGTCAAGCGTACTCTTCTTTGCCTTGATAATAAAAGCAAAGAAGAAAAGGAGAAAAGAAAAAAAAAAAAAAACGAAAACAAATTACGCTTGGATGCAATACAACAGGATACATTTCGAAAAAAAAAATCACTTTCTTTTCTTTATTGAATGCACCCTGCGTGTAAATATATAACTATATAAATCCATATAAGATAAAATATAAAGAGAACGTATTATATATTGAGGCATTTCCACGAGGGCTAACTACTAATTAACACACCTAACAAGTATAAAAAAAATTCACAGAGTGCGTAAAACAAAAAAAAAACAACGAAATAGACCACATCACACACAAGCACGCCAACAGACACGCACCTACAGATATACACAAAGAAACAACAAACAAAGCGCAATAAGAGGGGTGCCGCCACACTTTTGGGACTGACTCTGTCAACTAAAGAAAACACTGTAAAAAAAAAAAGAAACAGCTATTTCAAATAGCCCTATTCTCAAGCTGAGGACAATAATTACAGGCATAAAAGCCAAAGTCAATAAAATAATAATCATACTAATATAACAATAACAATAATAATATAGTAAAAACAAAGAGAGCAATTTTCCAGTACTTTACATTCCACACGCACGGTGAAATTGTGAAATCCACATATCACGTTCCTCTGCAGACCTTGCCATAGCAATAATTTTCTGCCCATTGTTAAACCAAATGACCAGTTGATTTGGGTGAGATCGACAGTAAGCCTCTGGTACTGGAAATATATCATTTATAGTTTCCAAACTTGCAGATTTTGGAGATACACCATCTTTTTCAGGATTATCTGTAAGAGATATTCTCAACTGACCGTTTCGAATAGAAAAGTATCGTTTTTTCCATTTCATATCGGAACTGTACTTTAATAAATACCCTTCCTGAACAACATCAGAACTTACAGATCCAAAATGAGCAGATTGTAAAAGAGGAACTTTAGTTCGACTTTCAGCAAGTTGTTTTAGAATTCTTTCCTTATCATGCTTTTCAATAACTTCTGAATTCTTTACAATTTCTTCAAATATATTAGCCACATATTTCATAAGTTCTGTTTGTAATAATTGTGTTGTAGTTGGTCGTTGAGCAGGATCTTTTGATAGTAATGGTTCCATAAGCGCTTTCATTCCTTCTGATACTCCGCATGGAAAAGGATCATATTTACCGTATAAAACCTGTTGCATAATTTCACGCTGAGATGGACCTTTAAAAGGACGATGTAAAGTTAAAAGTTCATATAAAATGACACCAAGTGACCACATATCAGCCTTTTTACTGTACCTTTTTCTTTCCCATAACTCCGGTGCGAGATAGTATGGTGTACCACAGAAGGAAGAACCAACATCCAAAGAAACAGAATCGCTGTATTGCTTAGAAAATCCAAAGTCACCCAATTTTATAATACCAGTTGGCATTAAAAAGATATTTGCACTTTTTAAATCACGATGCATCATTCTTCTGCTGTGTACTTCATCCAATGCCAATACGATTTGATAAAAGAGCAATCCAACCTCATGTTCTTTAAAAGGTAATCGCTCCTTTAGACGTTGTTTTATCTGTTTGTTTAGATCACCTCCACTTCCATATTCCATAATCAAAAGCAATTTATCTTCTGATTTTAAATCGTCATAGTGTTTCACAATACCAAAGTGATCACAAGCTGCCAAACAATGCACTTCACTTCGTGCATATGCTGCTTGTTTTTCATCATTAAGCATAACAAATTTGGCCACCACTTTTTGTTTATCAGAGCCTCGAAGTGCGACGAATGCCGCTGTAGTGGCATTACGTCCAACAATATGCTTTAATATATACATATGTGTGCGTGGATCTTTGGTACCATCCTCTGGTACCTCTTCACCCTCCGGAAGGTCGAGAACTTTTTTAAGCGTTTCTGGTCTGGCCTCTTGACAGTACTTCTCCATCTCTTCCTCGGATGTGAAAAGAACATTGGGGAAAAACTGGGCATAGTGCCGCAGTAACTGGGCATCATGGTTGTCGTTATTTGGCATTTCTGCAAATAATACTTGAGTACAAAAAGAAAAAAGAAAAGAAACAAAGCGAAAAATTAAGCAGGAAATCAAAGAAGAATTAATAAACAACAACAAAAAAAAAAAAACAAGTAGAAGAACCTCAAAAGAAAAGAAACACAGAGAGAGAGAGAGAGAGAGAGAGAGGGAGAACACCTTAAAAATATACACTAATATTTTTCCTGTTTTTTTTTTTTTTTTCAATACTACAAGGAGAAAATTTCCTATATAGTATTCTGGATAGCATCAAAAACGAAATGCAAGACTTCTCATAATTTCATCAGCATCACGTCGTCTACAACTTTTCGTACTAGTTGTTTGTGACGTTGGCACAGATGTATTATGTGATGGGAGATCAGGTGTATACTGAATAACAGTTTGAACAGTGGAAAATGGACTAGAAACTTCTGCCTGTAAACGTCGTACACTGCGTAAAACAGCTTCACTATCTCCAATTGATTCTTCTCTCACCCGTTTACTTGACTGTCGTGAAGGAGTTTCTTCAGAAGGGGCTTTCAAGTTCTCTAACCATGTTCCTGCTGCTGCATCATCTGAAGAGCGATGGACATCGTCTCCACAATTTGAAAAGACATCTATGATAGCATGCAAAACACATCGTTGTTTTTGTGCACCACCTGGGGTAAGATCTAAAAAATATTCTTCTAAGCATTTAGAACTCGTATACACATCCGGTCCCAATGCTTCCAAAGGACATTTTAGACTATAAGCACTTTGTTCCATAAGAAAGATTGCCATTGCAGCATCTTCTTCTGTACAGACTTGAGCCAAATGTAATTTAGCATGAGCCTGGGTAATTCGAACAAGAGATTCAAGCAAACGTATAGTTACTGGAACACAATCTGCAAGGGAAGGTGCCGCACCTCGTCGGTGCTGAAGTTCATAATACGTTTTAAGAAGCTCAGCTGCTTCATCAGATAGTAATGGACCATCATTCTGTGCATAATGAGAACGCATCCATCGTAGATAACGACTTATATCATCTTGTGAAAGTACTGATGGTGGTTGCTGTCCTGCTTGAGAACAAGTAAGGATATGAGTGGCTATGCGATTATCCACCTCTGCTGAAGGTGTATCCCAAAGTAAAAATATAAAATCAAATCGACTAAGCAATGGTCCACCGACACCAATTTCTGTTCCTCCATGACGCATCGGTGGAGGATTGCATGCAGAAATAACAGAGCAAGAGGTACGAAGCTTTGTTACCATTCCTGCTTTGGCAACAGAAATAGTTTGTTGTTCCATTGCCTCATGAAGAGAAGCTCGATCAGAAGAGGAAACTGTTCGAAGTTCATCAATAACACAAATACCTCCATCACTTAGCACTAGTGCTCCAGGTTCCAATACCCATTCTCCATTTTCTTTTGCTGCTGCCACTGTTAATCCAGCTGAAGTACTTCCAATACCAGTAGTGGAAGTGCTTCGTGGAGCAAGTAAAGCAGCAAATCGAAGTAATTGAGACTTTCCAGTAGAAGGATCACCTACAAAAAGGCAATGAATAGTTGATCTTATATGCATGCGTGTTTTACCAGTCATAGATGTTCCCCCTATAGTGGCAAGAAGTACAGCCATACGAGGTGCAAAAAGTCCTGATAATTGTGGACATACTGAGGTTACCAGTGCAGTACCTCTGCGTAATCGATCTTCACCAAAGGATGCAAAAAAAGATTCTGGACTAAAATTAGTTCCTTCTACTGATCCTGTAGTCTTACGACGTGGTGCAGCGGAAGCACTAGATGTTCCACCCTCACGGTATGACTCCATTGCGTTAATGTTTAAAGCCCATACTGTGGGTTCAATAATAGGTCGACTATTGGGTTGTGTAGCTCTCCATTTTGGGAATAAAATGCCTATCACTTCAACCAACTGTCCTACTGTGCATTTTGTTGTGAGTTCATCTTCAAGTGTAACAAGTAATGTTCGAGGGAGTCGACCTGAAAGACTTGAGCGTTGCTGTAATCGACATTCCGCGTAGTCCATCCAAACCTGCCCAACGGGCTGTAACTCTTCACCTCTGCACTCTTTACGTTCACACTGCCCTTTTGGTTTTGCCGCTCGATCAAATGGACTTGATGGTACTTCAATAGTCTCACGACACTTTGGACACTTTAGTCTATGCACAAACGGTACCACTCGCTTTGCATTCATTCGCACGATGGATCCACAGACGCTTATGAGTACCCCTTGTGGTGGTGGCATGGATGGCGGTGGGGCGCCCACTGTAGGGAGGTGTGTAAGGCGGATGGAGAGATCTGCGGGGCTGAGGCCTTGGCAGACGCTGGCGGCGACGCGTCGGAGGGTGTCGGCGAGGGCGGCGGTGTCGGTGAAGAGGCGGGCGGCGAGGGCGGGGCGGGCGGCGAGGAGGCGGAGGCAATCGACCTCGACGGCCCACGCGGAGCGGGCGGGGAGGAGGCCGGCCGACGTGAGGCACCGCGGGGGCTCGCAGCATTGCAGGAAGAAGGCCTGCAGCGCCGCCGTCTCCTCCGTCGCGTGGGGGTCTTCGTCCGTCATGATGGGGACCGGCAGAGGGGCTCTCACAACAGAGGGTATAAATATATATATATATATATATATATATATATAGCAAAAACAACTACAGGGGAAAAAATATTATTTCGTCGCTTCTTTTATATGACTCTGTTCCCTCTTTTTCTTCTTCTTCCCTCCCCATTGCTCCATACTGAGATGCCATATAGAGTAGATCCCTACAATATTGCGTAGATCATCTTTTATGAATTGGCAAGGGATTTGTAGTAAGCCTCCCAGTCTTCATCTTGATTCTCTTCATACAGTGCCAAGAGCTGCTCATTCCTGATTTCCTCTTCAACTGCAAGGAGGAGATCAAGCACATGGGGATCATTCACATCACATTGAAACTCTGCCTCAATGAAAGCATACGCATCCGAAACTGGGATACTGCTCCCATTAGTATTAGTGGACTGCTCCCGGCAACCACCCAGCATCGATTGCCTTAATTCATCACGTTTCACTAAATTACGTTGTAGGAGCCGTTGTTTGATTTCGTGCCGCCTCGAGTGCAGCACTTTAACACTCGACTGACGCATGCCTCCGTACTATTGTATTGACAACACATACCATTAAGGGTAAAAAAAAAAATTTGAAACAATTAAATCGAAAACGAAAAAAAAAAAAAAAATAAGGATAGAAATAGAGAAAGAGACATCTTCAAACATTTTTTAGATAAACCACAGATGTACAAACACACACACACACAGAGTGAAAAATAAAAGAGAAAGAGCAAAAAAAAAAGGTTACTGTGAACAAAAAAAAAAAAAAAATCATTGTTCCATATATCACAAAAAAACTTTATATCATAATATGACTTCAAAACAAGAACACAAAGAAAGCAAAGAAAAAGAAAAAAAGTGAAAAAAAAAAAGAAGAACAAGACAGCAAAGAATGAGAGGAGGTATAGATATTGTATCTACATCAGGTCTTTTATGTGTAATGGACCAAATAGATGATCACGTGGAGGATATCCTCCTTTGCGACGAATTGGAGACGACTCACGCAGTGGATAGGTACCAAAAAGACTATCATCTTGGTATTGCACTTGACGTTTCAAAGGATAACGAGAATGTATATATGCGGTATTTAATCGTTGTTGAATGTCCTGATATACTTCACCACAGTGACCATATGGACTCTCTTGCAATCCCAAAGCTCCATGAACGTAATGATTTCTGCAGCTACGGTACAACTTTGCCTTGTCCCTACGGGATCGTTTTAATAAACCAGCAATATCTCTTTCCTTTGGTAAAATAGAACAAATGACAGGCAACGAGTCTTCTTTACAACGTGGACATACTGGTACCTCTTCTGAAGGTGGCATTTTCTCTTTCGTGATGTTACCCGAATCATTCATTTTATCAATTTCTTCTTTAGAAATTCGGTTACGATCATGCCATATGCAGTCCACTGCGACGAAGCATGATCCCTGATTTGGTGCAATAATATTGGCCCCACCCCTCCAAGTCTCTCTGAAAGCAGGAAGTATCCGCTTCTGTGGATCTTCATATACATATTCTTCACGGTATGCAGGTGGTAAACGTGCCGAGCTCACACGCAGTACATCTTTGCTCTCATCACTCTGGTCAGATAGGTACTTCGTGACCCTCTTTGCGGCTCGCGCGATAGAAATGGACATTTACGAGAAGTTAAGTGGAGAGAATGGGGCTCCGCACCCTCTTCTTCATATAAGAAAAAAAGAAAAAAAAAGAAAGAATAAATAATGATTTCAAGAAAGAGGACATGAGTGAGAAATAATTGAAACATGATCAACTAATATCCATAGCAAATATAATAAAATAGTAATAATAAAAAAAAAAAAAAAAACCATATAAATAAGGGAAATATAATAAATAACATTCATCCCATCTGTTCATAAAAAAAATAAAAATAAAAAAAAAATAACTGTTAATAAAATTAGTATTAGAAAAATACCCAACATAATAACAAAAAAAAAAAAAATAAATAAAACAATACTCTGAAACGTAGAAATTAAAATAGAAAAAAGTAAAAAAAATAATTATAACTTAATTTATAAAATGAAATTTACTATCTGTTCAAACCCCATCTCTCTTAGCCAAGGTAAATAACACCATGATAACAAAGTAACTGCGTGAAGAAAGAGAGGGAGGGAGGGAGGTTATCATTTATTTGAATAATCTCTCTTCTATTCCCGGGCATCCATGATACCCTGTTCTGATATACTGAAGACACACTCCACTTCTGGTAGGGATGGACTGTCATATATCTTGCACACACGCTGATCACCGCGACCCTTTCGTAAAGACAAACGTGTTGTAGAGGCGTGTGCGAGAATATGTCCACCAACAGGTTTTTTAGGATCAGCCACAAACATAGATGCACCACCCGGGTCTGCCACAACTTGATTTGTAATGTAAACAGCGACATTATATTCTTCAGATAATTTTATTAGATGACTCATCATTTTTGCAAGCTTTTGTTGTCGTTCTGCCAGTTCACCTCGTCCAGAGAAATCCACACGAAAAAGAGCAGTAATGCTGTCCACAACAAGTAGACTAAACTGATCTTCTGCCATCTTTGCTGCCACCATTGAAAGTAGATGCATTTGATGTTCATGTGTGTATGCCCGTGCCACAAGGATATTACTCAAAACGGCCTCTACATCCAAACCGAAACGTTCGGCAATTGGTTTTATACGTTCTGGACGAAATGTTGCCTCCGTGTCCACATAAACCACCTTTCCATTACCACCACCCATAGAAAGAGGTAATTGGCAGGTTACACAAAGTGTGTGTGCAATTTGAGTCTTACCTGTACGAAACTCACCAAAGGCCTCTGTAATAGACATACTCTCAATACCACCACCTAATAATTGATCTAATGCGGCACTACCTGTAGTAATACGAGTCACTTTTCCTCGCTGCTGCAAATACGTAGATCCATTGGTAAAACCACAATCTGCAAGTTTTCGAGCAGCTTCAATTATTTTATCCACCTTAGCATCTGAAAGACCCTTAATAAGGGCCAAATCTTTACGACACTGCATATGAACCCCTGTAACGGTAAAAATGCCCGCCTGACGCAGTTTGGCAACATCCGCTGCCGCAACGCCTTGCTCTGTTAGGCGGTCAATCTCCATGATTACATGAGTCGCTGCATCCTCCTGGCAGGATGTTGTGTCAGAGACGTGGGCTGCCCCATCCTTTGCCGCATCACTCTTACTCGAACGTGTGCCGGTCTGTTGCATATATATATCTATAGATAGATAGATAGATAGATATATGTATATATGTATCTTTGTGTGTATGTGTGGTTGGATATGTTAAGTCTTGCAGAGGGTGATGTCAATACTGTTGTTGTTATTTTTGTTGTTGCTGTTCACAAACTCTTTTTTTACGTGCTGTATGTCGTACAAGTCTACACCCTCTCGAGAATAGGAACAATAGAATTCAAGGCACACAAAAAGAATATACGAATAAAAGTAGAAAAAAGCAAAAAAAAAGCAAAAAAAAAAGAAAGCAGAGCAAAAGAGATAATAAAGGAGAAAAAACAAAATAACAAAAGAAAGGAACAAGAGGAAAATAAAAATCAGAAAAACAAATAAAGGAAAAAGAAAAAAAAAAAAAAAAACGATCCACACAAGACCGCAAAGTTTCTTGAAAAAGTGAGAAAAATATGATTTCGATTAATGCGTTCTAGAAAAAATGCTGAAAATAGACAAAACCGAAAAATGAATCTCAAAAAAAAAAAAAAAAGGAGAAATATCCCCCTCCCTTTTTAATAATTCTGTTGTGACATCATATAGAGAGCATCACAAAATTTCTGAAGATAAGTGTCCACAAAAGAAGGCATCCATGGAGAACGTGCAACTCGTGTCATGTTTGTCCGTACACCACTGAATGCAAATTTCACGTTTGCATCAATACGATACAAATTCTTGATATATTGAATATAAACAAGAGTGAAAATAGCACCACCATTAAGCATGATAGTGAATAACAAAATAGTTTCCACCCCTACAGCCCATGCTACAAGAACCAATTGATTCGTTACAATTTTCTGCAGAAGGGGTAGACAAAGACGATGAACTGCTGGTGCTATTGAAACCAATGCAGCTTGATTATTGGCGAGGCTTACAGCACTGTAGGCTCCAAAGGAGGCTGAAATCATAATTATAGGTCTAACACCTGTCAATAACGCTAATAAACATAAGAGTAACTCCAACGTACAACGGTGTTCACCCCATTTAAAAAGTACTTCTTTCGAAGCTTTTAAAAGTCCACGGGTATTAGCAACATAACCCTGTTGCAGCATCACCATAATCATTTGAAGATTCCATGATAACGTATTGAGACCAGGGGCAAAAAACCAAAATAATAAGGTCATTACAGCCGTAACTACAACGCCAGTATCCAAAAGTAAACCTACCGTACCTGTTAAACCGGGAGGAACGGTTATACCCATATTAGAATACTGACTTTGTTGTTGTTGTTGTTGTTGTTGTAGGAAACGTATTTGTTGTAAACTTTCTTTAACATTAGAATTATCAGGCATAAGAGCCTCGGCTCGTTCATATTCCACAGCGGCCTCCGCCAATCGGTTTAACCCCCAGAGTGCCGCGCCAAGACGAGAATGTGCTCTGGCATTATCAGAAATATCAAGAGATCGCCTCGCATACTTTTCTGCATCATTAAAATTTTTTAATGCAATGCTGGCAGCTGAAGCGTTATTAAGAATGTCAACATTCCGTGGATCCAATGTGATAGCCCTTTCATAAATTGTCAGTGCTTCTTGATACCGCTTCGCGTTAAATGCGGTATTGCCTTCCTGCCTTAGTTCTTCTGCAGTAGACATGGATTACTTTATTCCTATAGTTACAAAGGTATGACTACGTGTTCACTTTTTTTTTTTTCTTCAATAGATTGCTTTCCCTCCTTTCCCAATTTATGAGTTCAATATAGGGAAAGAAGACAAAAGAATAAAATAAAATCTAAGGCAAAAGAAAAGAATAAATAAAGTGCAAGAACAAGATAAAGAGAAAAAAAAAAAAAAAACATATTAACATGACGGTCAAAAATATCTACTGTTCTACCTTTTACAATAAAGCAAATATAAAATTTTGTCTTTGGTTCTTTTTTTTTTTTTTCTTGAGTATATAGGAGAGAGAGTATACGCATGTGTGTGTGTGTGTCTTTTTTCATCTAAGAAAAGGTTTTCGTGGATAACTCTGTATAAAGATGAAAAACAATAATAACACAGAAAAAAAAAAAAAAAACAATATCCACGACCCTTTCAACGCAAGACATCTTCGTTGTTCAGCACGCCTCCCTTCGTTTTTTTTTTTTTTTTTCGTCCTCTTTTGTTCTTTACATGTAGTTCGCAATTTAGACGTCATATTTTCAACGCTATTGTTGCTACATCGGTGTAGCATCTTGGTTCTACTATCTTTGTGTCTTTTCATCTGCCCCATTTGATGCAACAAGCGGGCGTCGTCCAAAGACTTTATTGTAATTCTCTTCTCGATTAATAAGTTCCAGTTTGTACATCCTCATGTCATTCAACGCCTTGTTAAGGGCTTGATCTTTTTGTCGACCTTCCTTAATAAGACGGTTAATCATCGCCACATCTTCAGGACGAGACTCACGATATTCATATCGATACCGAAGTTCATCAAGTTCCGCTCGCAGATCCCGTAGCACACCATCCTTAATATCGTGTTCCTCACGGTGTTGCTGCATTAAGTCATCTATGAAACCCTTGTGTTTTGCAGCTATTTCATTTAAATCACATTCTCTTTGTCGTCGCATTTCTTCTCTTTCTTTTTCAAAATCTTGTCGCATGGCATTTATAGTGGAGTCAAATTCTATTTGGGCATTCTTCATGTTATTCCGCTCACGAACAAGTTCATCTTTTCGGTTTTCCAGTTCGTGTTTTACCGCTGCTAGTTGGTTTTTTAGAGAATCAAGCTGAATTTGTGTGTCTGTATACTTTTGCTGCAGAGCCGCTAGGGCCTCATCACCACGACGCTGCACCGCATTGCGTTCCGCCGTTAAGGATACTCGAAGCTCATCTATAGCGACCTGCATTCTCTGTACGTGCCGCAGTTCTATACTATTAATGTATGCCTTATGCTGCTCCTCCACTTCTATTCGTGAACGGTTTGTCATTTCCTCTAGTCGCCGCATAGCCTCCCTTAGTTCACTCTCGCGAGCCTGCACTTGTCGGAGTGCACTTTGCATTTCCGCCGATTCTGTCTTCGCTTTCTGCAGTGCGTCATTGGTGTCACGGAGTTCCGTCCGCAGCTTGTCGCACTCACCGACCAGCCGTCGCACCTCCGCCTCCACCTCCTGCCGCGCAATGTCGAGTTTGTTGAACTCTTCTGCCGCGTGGCGTTTATCCGTTTCGGCCGCCCGCCGCTGCTGCGCGAGTTCCTCCTCGAGCTGCCGCCGCAACTCCGTGGCGTCCGCGTCTGCCCGCCGCCCTGCCGCCCGCTCCGCCTCCAACTTGCGGTTGGTCGACTCGACAAGTTCCCGCACCTCCCGCCGGTGGGCCTCCTCCGCCGCCGCCGCCGCCTCCGCGTGGGCCGCCGCCAGTCGCCGCAGCGCCTCTTCGTGTTCGGCCCGCAGCGCCTGCAGCGCCCGCTCGTGTTCGCCGGCCAGCGCCGCCCCCCGCGCCACTTCCGCCCCGCGAAGGCGCTCCACCTCCGCCCGCAGTGCGGCCACCTCCTCACGCGATGCCGTCAGCTCCGACTCCAACATCGTCCGCTTCGCTCGTGAGGCTGTCAGTTCCGCTTGCGATGCCGTTAGTTCCGCTCGCAACTGCGTCTCTTGCGACTGCGAGGCTGTTAGTTCCGTTTGCAAGGATGTCAGTTCCGCCTGTAGCGCTCTCTCTCGCTCTGCTGCACTCGCCACCTCTCGCTCTGCCTGTAACTTCTCCGCTTGTAACGCCGTTACTTTATTTTGCAACTCCGTCACAAGTGCCGCCTCCCGCTCTTGTCCTGCTGCCCGTAGCTCTTCGCTGAGGCGTCGGGCAGTGTCCAGTTCAGTGCGGAGCTTGTCTAGAGCTGTCTCATGTGCAGCCACCAATTGGTCTATCTGTTGTTTATGTCGCTCTTGCAATTGATGAAGTTCTTCCTTGTGTTGATTTTTAAGATCATCCATTTCACGTCGAAGTTGTGTTACAATTGTGTCAGTTGTCTTCTGTGAAGCAGAGTGTAGACCAGCTATTGACTTTTCATGCTCTGACTTGAGCGCATCTATTTCTGCTTGATATTTCCTAATAGTTTCATCTATCTGCCGCTGTAAGTCTTCACAACGAGTCTTTAATGACGCTTCTGTTCCCTGATGTTGTGATGCTGCATCCTCTGATTCTTTTACTTTTGATTGAAGCTGATTCACACGTCCTTGAAGAGTTGTCACTTCACTTGAGAGTTGTTCATTTTTTTCTTCCGCAAGGCTTAGCTGATGTTTAAGACTATTTTGTTCCGTTTTCAACAAATTTATTTGATTTTCCATATTTGTCAGATCTGACTGGGCCTTGGCAAACTCAGCTTCCTTTTCACTTACTAACTTCTCTAAACGGGTACGGGCCTGATCTACCTCTTCAAATTTCTTTTTCCACTCTTCTGCATCCCGCCGAAGTGTCATTTCAACATCACGTGAAGCTCCAAGTGAATGGCTCTCTGCGTCGAGTTGGGCCCGCAAAACTGTACATTCTTGTTGCAGTCTTTTAACCTCCTCTTCGTAACTATTACTACTTTGTTTCCACTTTTCTAAGTCGGCTAACGTACGTGTGGTGGTATCTTCTGATTTTTTAAGTTTATCAGATAACTGTTCTACCTCTGCTACATGTTGTGCTACAGCGGCATCAAGTTTTGACTGCAAAGAACGTAATTCTTCATTCAAAGCCTCTTTCTCATTCATCTGCTCTGCTAACATGGATTTGTAGCGTTCATTATACTCCCGTACCAAATTTGCCATTTCTGCATCCTTTGCCGCACAACTTTTCGCTATCTCATCTGCCTTTGACTTGTCACGCGCCTTCACATCTGCAATCGTCTGATCAAAATGGTTCTTACAAGCTGATAGCTCGTCTGTCATGGAACTCACTTTCTCTACATATTTCTCTCTCGCTTCTTCTACCTCCGCCTTGCACTTTTTTTGAAACTCTTGTACATCTCTAATACGTTGTTGTTCCGCCTCATGAAAAGCCTTTCGAACCTCTTCTATACGACGTTCCGCATCTTTACAGAGTGTTTGTATCTCTGTTTCATGTGTACTTCGTATTGATGCTATTCGTGCATCAAAATCTTCGTTTTGAGTATTCAGCTGGTAAATCACCTTCGTCAGCTGGGCTATTTTCTTGCACATTTTAAAGTGCGTATCACCATCGTTGCCTTTTCGAAGCATCTGTTACCTTTCAAATAGTGTAAAAGAAAAAAATAATAATAATACATAGAACAAGAAAAAAAAGAGAAAAGTGCGTAGTTTTTTTCTTTACTATTTTTACCACAAAAGTAAACACATACAATAAGTCTAGAACCACTGAAGCAAACAGTCATTTAAATATGAGTATGCATAAACACACTCTACTGGAGTCTGTTGGGAGCACACTCCCAAAGAGCATTCGTTCTTTTATCGGTAAATCCAGTATTTACTCATTTTTTTTTTTTGTACGTTTTAGTAAAGGAAGAGAAAAAAAAAAGAAAAAGAAAAAAAATCACTTATTCGCCCTTCAAAGGGAAGAGGGAATAATTAAACCCATGTATCACCAGAGTCCACTATACACACTCTCCCATTGACCCAAGTTCCTCTCATAAACCGAAGGAAAAAAAAAAAAAATGTGTGTACCTTTGACTTGATTCCATCTTCTTTTTTTCTTCTTGTTCAAGGTATCGCATGATGATAATCATGATGATACTTTTTTTTTTTCTTTAATCCTTCCCCTCTTTCCCCTTCTCATTTCATTTGTGTTTGGGTCTATTTCTCTTCTTTCTCTTCCTTTTCACTCTTCCTATCAATGTTTTTGTCTTCCTTCTTTTTTACTCCTTTACACCAATTCCTTATTCCTGTGAAAGTATAGGAGAAGACCACCATGGGCATCTCCTTTCAACTAAATGCGAGATAATCTAGTAGTTTTCATGTGCAAATATCCCACAAATTGACCTGGTAAAGGAAACCTAGGCAGTGAAAACAAGGCCATGTTTTAATGCTCCAGAGTGAATGTCATACTGAGCATTGTATAAACAGTGCATTTGGTTAAATCCACTGCGTTCACCTCCAAAAGGAATTTCCACGGAGGCTTTTAATTTAGAGAAGCCAGCAAGAGCGGCACTCATCAAACCACCACCGATAAAATGTTTACGCATACCAAAACTCAAAAGACTCATCATACCCTCTCCTTTATTGGTATACTCAAGTTGCATAGCGAATTCAGCATCATGACCCCAATCTCCTCGTGTTAACGCCACCTTCCACTCACCCTTGTTGGGATGCCATTCTGCACCTAAAGTTCCCGTCTTCGATGGATTCGTGGCTGAAGCAGCATAAGAGACAGAGGTCCCCTTTGTTGTAGGGTCCCAAGAGAAATTAGATCCAAAGTGCACACCTCTTATAATTCGCTGTGTGTGGCTCAATGTGAGTGTTTGATTCTTCACATACTGCAGCTGTGTACAACCACCAGGCACCCACGGATACTGGATCATTCCAACCACGGTACCCTGAGTCATGCCTTGTTGTCGCTGTGCCATGCACTGAGCAAGCAATAGCGCTCCTGTGGTACTTACACGCTGGTACATGAGGCTCCAGCGGCTCAATGTGTTGTAGGAAGCCATTACAATATCAGAGAAGCCATTCATTTGGAGACCTAGTTCCCAATGTGACATTTGTGGTGAGACAAGAACACATTTTGAAGAAACCATTACGTTTTGGGTATTACGGGCAACATTAAGTGTGATTCCTTCACTTATCTCTCCTGAGTTCCCTTCCATTAAAAGTTGTTGCGCACTACGAAATAAGGAATCGTAGGTCACCAACTTGGCCGGTGAAAGCGGACCTTCTTTGGCACTAGCTGCCAACTTTTTGCGAAACGCATCTTCACGTTGTGCGATGGCTTCAGCCGGTGAGGGCTCAAGCGTTGTTTCGGGATCCACGTCTAACGTCTTTCGCTTCTGCGGCTTCTCTGGGACAACAGGCTCGTCACTCGCCTTACCCCGGAACCATTCCATCAACATCTTGAGGCAACACTTACTCTGGGCTCTCGGTTTCTCTGTTTATGTATGTGAGTGCGCACGCGTCTGTGAGGGCTACACGGCTTCGTTCTACTTCCTAACTCCGAGACTAATCCGGACGAATGAGAAGTAAAATGACACGCATACACAGCAAAAAGAAAAAAAATAAAATAAATGAGAGAGCACAAAGAAAAAAAAAAAAAAAAAGAAACACAACAACAACAAAAAAAAACAAAATTAATGCCAAAAATAAGATGCAACCAAGGGTCTGCTAAGATAATGCAAATGAAAAAGAAAAGAAAAAAAAAAGAAAAAGGAGACATCGACCACTTGTAATGCCTTATTTTTTTTCTCTTTTTTTCTTTTTGTTCTCTTTCCCCTCCTCCCTCTCGCTCTCTCTCTCTCTCTCTCTCTTTTTGTTTTCGTTTTCTTTCCTTGTTCCCTCCGTTCTTTTTTTTTTTTGTCCTTGAAAGAGAAAAGATGATGAGAGGCAAAGAAAAAAGAAAAAAAAAAAAAAATCACATCGTGCAGTTGCTAAAAATAGTGCGGAGTGTGTATCCATCCCACCAATAAAGAGAGAAACGTAAATACAAACTCTAGTCCGCCTCTGCGAGAGCCGTCAGCCATTCCTCTACCTCCTGATCCGGTACACGAGAGAAACTGTGGTTGCTTACGCTGCATCGTCCCACTTCCAAATCAGACGCTTTTAAAGATTCACCAAGGGAACTCTGGAGTGCTGCAAGTGCAATCATAGCAGCTTCTTTTTGAGAAAGAGTGTGAAACGGTGCATTTTTTTGTTTTTTCTCCAGGAATGCTGTAGCCTCAATTTGTTTCTTACCTGTAGCATAGGCGTGAAAGCTGCCACACCACCCCGCTGGGTCTACACAGTAAATCTGCGGAACCCACGAGCCATCCTCGTCGTTCTGTTCCATACCAAGAAATGTCATCACGACTCCCATAAGTCGCATTCCCGCTTGTTGGGTTCGGACCTGCGCCATATCAGCCACACGCTTGGCAAGCACGCTAACTGGAATGGGAGATCCAAAGCGGTACTTGAACTCAGACGCCTCATGACGAGCTTTCTGTACCAAAGACTTTCCATCAGGAGCTCGACCGGTAACACAAGCGCCAATACCTTCAGTGATATTGTAGAGGGAAGCAATGGTTTCAGAACGCATCAGTTTGTCAGGCACGGTGTGCTGTGTAAATACCAAGACAGCATCCTTGCAGCGTATGGCTACCGTAAGGAGACCCGCATACGTTACAGCTTTGAAGGCATATTCAACCTGATACAAAGATCCCTCTGGACTGAATATTGTAATAAACTGATCAAATCCCGAACGGCTCATTTTTCTGGCTGATGATTAATTTGATCCCTGATAAAAATTCCACTTGGCCTGTAAATATTGCTTACACTTGAATAGTTCTTTATTCTGGAGCAACACAAAACAAAACAAACACAAAAAAAGAAAAAAAAAAAAAGAAATGATGCACAAAAGTGAAACAAGTAACACAATAAACTACATAATAATATAGGAGGCAAAACACACATACATAAACAAGAAACGACGAACATTACAATCATATAATAATTAAAAAAAAGCATGCTTTACTACGACACACTATTACAGGCATAGGAAGAAAAAAAAAAAAAAAACAGAGAAATATAGACACATAAGAGAAAAGAAAGTGATTACATCTGAATAAAGTATGTAACACATTCTGAAAGTGAGAAGCCCAGTAGTGGCATTTCAGCGTCATAGCAATCAATTCTATCCCCATCTCATAGAATCGTTGAGGAATAGAAGACTGAAAAGAAAAGAAAAAAAAAAAGAAAAACAATGAAAATAGATAGATAGATAGATAGAAAGGAAATAGAGAAGAAAAATTTGCACTTACAACAGGTCATATATACCATGTGAAGATGCATTTCTTTCTTTTCTTTTTTGTTTCTCAAGCAAGATAGCAGTACCCTCTAGTATTAGAGAGAAATATGAAGCTTCACCATTCTTTTTTTTTTGGTGTACTGAACACAACTCAACTCATTATTTCATCAAATATATAAAGGTCAAAGAGTGAAGGACATATATTAAAGAATACATGCGCTCTGTAAAAGCAATAATAAGAACAATCATACCTAATCGACAAAATGTCTCAGGACATGAGATGTTTTTTTACTATGTAATTCTTCTACAATTATAGATTGTGGTCCTTGCAATTTCTTCAAACTCTCAAATGAGTCCGAGCTACCCAAGCCTTTAGAAGACGGAAGTCCATTAGTAGTATGTATCTTGTTTATATTTGGTGTCATATCCACTAGTACTGGTCTTTTGACAATATGAAATCCACCTACATCTGAAGGACCTTCTTTAGCCTCTGGTTTTTCTACACTACTCTCTTTTTCTAAGTTTTTCGATGGGGATTGTATCCTTTCAAGGTGTTGCGGTGTGTGAGCTCTGCCAGTGTGCCGCACTGACGGCAACTCTCCTGTATAATATACGCTCACTTCCAGACGGTTCTGGTACTGTGATCCAGTTTCCGGTCGAATGGAGGAGGAGGCGTCATCACCGCAAAAGCTACTCTCTGATCGACACATTGTTGCTAATTCACCCGGAGGTTCCCCAAACCAACCACCATTCTTTTCCCTAATACCAAGTACAGTATCAGCCCAACGGCATACAGTATTTACCTTGTTTTGCGATGCGTTTACTGCGGTCACCTGCAGTCCTCGGTAGTCGGTGATGGTGACGGCGGCGGGGTTGGCGGCGGCGACGGCGATGGGGTCGTACTCCTCGCCTCGCCGGCTGCTGGAGTCGATGGGCGTCGCGGTCGTCGAGCCGTTGGGGTTCTTTTCCTTCCCGCGCCCCCGGCCGCCGATGAGCGTCGAGGCCTTTTTCTCCACCGGCGCGGGGCCGCTGCTTGATGCACCGCACCCCATTGGAACTTCTGAGAAAGAAGAAGAAGAAGAAAAAATAAAATAATAATAATAATAACAACAATAATAATAACAATAACAGAAAGTGGATGAGGTAAACGAAAAAATCAGGAAAATGAATAAAATGAGTAGAAATAGCAGATAAAGGAAAAAAACAGAAAAGAAAAAAGAGTGAATAAACTATAAACAAGAAAATACCTACATATGTATACCACATAAAAACACCTAACAGAATAATAATAATAATAATAATAATAATAATAATAATAATAATAATAATAATAATAANAATAATAATAATAATAATAATAATAATAATAATAATAATAATAATAAAAGAAAAAAGAAACCTCAATAATTCTCTCTCTTTCTAGTTGGAATTTTTTTTTTCCTTTTGTCTTCTTTTATTTTTTATTTTTTTTGCTTTTTTATCCCCTTTATTTGGAGTCCTTCATTAAAATCAATGATAATTATTACGGTAAAAGCGGTCAAAGACTCGATCTCCATGCGCTTGGATGGAGTTTTCCAAAAGGCGGCGAAGTGGTCCCACTCTTGTTTCCATCGCCGTTTTTGATGTATCAGGAGCATCTGTCTGTAAGTTCATAATCGCACCAGGAGCATTACCACTACCTGCTGAAACTGTTTGAAGTTGTGCATTATCGCTTGTCAACCATTTTCCTGGAGATGTGAAATCTTCATAATGTTTTTCATACTTGTGTTGGGCCACTTTTAATTTCTCTACCTCAACAAGGTTACGGTATCCCTCAAGACCATAGGGTCCTGCTGCAAGCACAGCATATCGCATCTCAAACACAGATGCGCTGGGTTGTAACAAAGACTCCTTAAAACGAATATACTCTTCCACACTATACTCTGGTCTAAACCAGTAGGATTGACGTAAAAGATGAATTGGTTGACCATAATGTATTAATTCACGGATAACATGCTCACTTACCGAATCGGCAACACGTTCCACGTGAAATCGAAAACGATTATGTATTCCTGTTCGAAGATCCATACAACATGCGGCTGCTCCTGTTCCAATATTTGGAGTATCATCCTTAACAGGATGTAAAATATGAAATCCTTGAACACTATAATCTCCATGTGGAAGCATAATGATTCGTTGAACACCAATATCATAGGATTCTAATACCTTTTTACATCTTGTACCATCTTCAATAGTCCAATGATTTACAAATTTATTTACCAAGTCACCAGCTGGTGTATCAAGAGGCATTTCTGCAGCAGATAATGTTAATTCATGAATAGCATCTAGCACATCATCATCTCTAGTCGCCTCAAAAGATGGCAAACTAAAACTTACCAGACAAAATGTTTCCGATGCATAGGATTCAAAACCAACTAAACCAAAACTACCAAAGGGTGCTTTAATACCTTTACGTCTTGAAAGAATATCCACAGCCATATTAATATCATTTTCTGCTTTTTGCATGGCTGCAGTAGCTTCTTTGAGGCTTACACCAAGTCGTCCACAGAGACGTCTTAGGACAGCTGGATTCACACACTGCATCGGGTGACATCCCTCAGGGAAAAGTTCACCAAGCTCACCACCGTATACTTCTCGCGGAATAGGTTTATAAAATGGGACACGATTACGCATAATGCCAAAAGAATCACCTGGTATGTTTACTCCCATCTCAGTGTCGTCGGTAGGGGACTTTGCGTTGGATTGTATTTCTGTCAAGAGCTCTCGCGGTGGTAATTCTTGTTCCAAGTGACGTCGCTCATGCTCTGTTAGTTCATTCTGTTGGGAAAAATAACGGCGAGAATGACAACAGCAGGAAAGATATGAAAGTCGCCTGAGCGGAAAGCGTGTTATTGTAGAGAGGAGCATTGCAGGAAGCACGCACCCGCCACCTTCCTTTATTCCCCTCTAGCTTGAAAAAGGTGATAACAAATGACAATAATAATAATAATAATAATAATAATAATAATAATAATAATAATAATAATAATAATAATAATGGTGATAGGAGCAATAACAACAACAACAACAACAACAACAACAACGACCGAAAGAAAAAAAAAAAAAAAAACGGATGATGGGATGAGAAAGTAAACTATGAAAATAGGAAAAAATGGAATAAACCACCATTTTAAGCCTTCCATATATCAGTAGAATATATAGTGAGAAAGTGAATAATGAAAACCTTACTTCCCTTGTTTCCCATTCCCTCCCCCACACAAAAGGATGCAGACAACTTTTTTTTTTTTTTTCTCCTTTTCTTTTTTAATATGTGTCTCTTATTCATTTGTTTTTCTTTTACAATTGTTTCGACACTCTTTTAAAGAAATCAGAAACCCTTGTAAAGAACAGATATTGTAGACTCATCAATGGAAACCTCATTTGTTAACTCGTTACGAACCAAATCAAACGCAACCACACCACAGTTCTGAATCTTTTTTTGTTTGGCAATATGCCTAGAGGATGATGGCAAAAAACGACGAAAGAAGCAACGAAAATAACCACTATGACCAACCACAACCACTTCCTTTAAATCTGCATTTGAACGCTTCGTTGTGGATGCTGGTCGATATGAAGTCTCTTTAGTACCATCAAAGAGATGATAAACAAACTCATCCATACGCCCATAAACATTCGTCTGAGGTGTTCTATTACCAGCATTAAGACGAGCATCAAAAACTGTACTAAGCAACGATGGAGTATTGTACCTTCCAATTTTGCAGGGAATTATTTTCCCTTTCTCAGTGGAAAGTGTTTGCGCGTCGATATTACGGGAACCCTCTTGTAATGATGAATCAATTAATATCCTTTCATTAGTAGATGAAATACGAGGTCCCATGCCAATAACCGCTGTTTCCATTGCACGACGAAGGTTGCTACAAACAATGAGGGATGTATCAACATCATAAGATACTTTTCCCTTAGCTGTACGTATAAACTGTGCCAACTCCTGAACCTCTGCATTGCCCTTAGAGCTTAAAGGAGAATCAATAATAACTGAATTAAATGGATCCTGGACAAAGTATATTGCCTCACTGATCATTGCTTTCACCATGCGTACAGGCCAGTACATTCCATAAGAATTAAATAAAGAATTCCAAACTGATTGACCATGTCGAATGAACACGATTCGAATGACGCGTCTGGATGCTTGTGTTGTCGGTGCCTGTTGCATTCGCATATAATTAGTTCCTGTAAACTGTTTCGGAAGATCATTCGCTACCATCATGAAGTGGAGTCCATAGGCATAGGATGCAACCTTCATACGGAAGGCCTGAGCAGCAGGCACCACTGCCACAGCCACCACAACAAGTAGAGAAAATATTACAAAAAAAAACATTCTCAGTATAAACCTATGTGTGTGTGTGTGTGTGTGTGTGTGTGTTTCACTTTCTTCTCGAAGTTATTTCACTCCATATAAATATATAGATTAGTAGAAAAGAAAAGAAGAAAAAAAAAGAGGAGACATAGTTTATATCTGTGCGTATCTGTGTCTGTGTTTTCATCTAAACATACATGTATACAAAATATACGTGTGTGTGAAAAAAAAAAAAAAAACAATTCAAGTAATCAAAAATAAAATAAATAGAAATGCATCGCAAGCAAAGAAAAAAAAAAGTAAGCGAGGAGATTTGAATGCTTTATTGTTTTTTTTTTTTTTTTTTTTTTTTTTTGTTTCTTTCTTTCATGTCTTCTTGTTTTCTTTTTTTTTTCGTTAGAGGAAAAAAAAAAAGAATGTATCTTACAAAATCCATGGTGTTTCACAATGCGAATATAATATCCGCATCAGACAATTCTCTACGAGAGTGAACTCGTCCATCCATGGCGTCGCATATAGCTGCTGAAACTACAGTAATGTCATAATTGCAGACAAATGGTTCGGTAAACTGAATATGAGGAATAGATGCGGTCTCATCACAGATGAGATGTAAAGTGGTGGAGCGCTGAAACCCCAACTCACAGAGTGTGCCAGCCCCGTACACCACATCCACCTGCCTTGTCGGCACGCCTCTCTCCTCCTTCACACACCTGTACGGGGCGGCGGCGGCGGCGTCCATGGCGGTCCCGGCGGCCTGCAGGCGGCGCGGCATTGTCTGGTGGCCGTTCTCGTAGAGGAGCGGCTGGAGGCCGACTTCGTCCATGAGGTGCCAGCGGTCCTGCACGCCGAGAATGAACTCCTCCACAATGACGCCGCCCACCTCGCGGTACTGCCGGACCCACCGGCCGGGGCACAACTCGTAATTCCAGTAGCGCATCTGCCACCCAATACACCCACGCCGTGGAGTCCCACTACTCACACTATTACTATTACTGCTGCTTCTACTACCATCTATACTAGTGGAAGGAGAAGTGACCCTGCTGCCGGTGCTGCTGCTGGGATCCCCTGTGGTGGCGTAGAATTGCTTGAAGACCGCCACCTCATGTTCCCGCATCCGCCGCGCCACCTCACACTCCTCGGCAGTCACACACACGAGCAACACAGACACCACCAGAAGGGCAGCAGCAATACTGCCGTGTCGCATGGGATCTAACTCTGGTTATGAGATGAGGTACCTTATCTTATGCAACAACAACATGAGACACATAAATATATATACATAGAGAGAGGGGGAGAAAAAAAAAAAAGAACAATAGAGGAAGAAAATTATAGAAACTACAAGGACAAGAGAAGAGTGGTAAAATACGCAAAGTGAGTGAGAAGAGGAGGGAAGAAAAAAGAGAGAGATAGATAGATATAGAGAACCCTCTGAGTGTAGGAAAATGACAATTTACCCACTACAACACAGATGCCTTCTTTTTTTTCTTTCTCCAAGAAGAAAAAAAAAAAAAANAAAAGAAAACTAAAGTACACACACACGATGACCAGGAGTTCTTTCTTTTTCTCTGTTTTGCGATGCCCACCTAAGTAACACAGTGTAATGGGAAATGAAAAAAAAAAAAGGGATTCCATTCATTCAGTCAAAATTTGCAGTATGTGAACTCTGCATAGGTTAGAAAATATAATTCTCTACGTTTCCCCATATATTTGCTTTTTTTTTTTTTCTTTTCTCCTGTTTTGCAGAGAGATGCAGACGCAATACCCCAAATATACACTACACAAACACAAAAAAGAAAAACAAGAACACGACCAACAACGGCAAATAAAAACACCAAAAGAAGAAAAAAAAAAAAAAATCAAGGTGGATGAGTCCTATACTCACGTACTACACTGTCTTCCCCTTTATACACACATCAAACATCCTCTTCTACTAGATCATATTGATTTCTGTTTTTTGTTTTGCTTTTGTCTCTTCGCCCTTGTCTCATTTTTTTTTCTCTTCTCCTAGTTCACGGCGCTTGTAGTCTCCGTTATTGAAATGAAAAGGAGGAGTCACAAATATGAAATGAAAGAAAAAAAAAGTTGACAAAAAAGGCGTATTTCTCCTATGTACCCACACCCTCTATCAATAATTCAAAGGAGGAGGCAAAGTGATAGTTCTCTACAACTGAACCAATACAGTTAACCCAGACGCATATAATCCGAGGGAGGTAAGTGAAAATGACGAAAAAAAAAAAAAAAAACAACATAACCTTCCTTTTTGTTTTTCTTTTGCGTGGCTTCCCGCGGGGGAAAAAAAAAAAAAAAAAAAACAACATAAACTACCAGTACACAGAGTCACGAGAATCAGCCTGATTCTCGTTTAATTTTCTTTTTTTTCTTTTTCCTACTTGGTGCTATTACCAATACATTTCCTTCTTTCCTTTGCTTTTCGTTCTACCTCCCTTAAATTTGGAACAAAAACAAAAACGAGAAAAAAAAAACAAGAATCAAAAAAAAGGGGTGAAAACGAAAAAAAAAAAAGGAGGGTAACAAAGTTGAGGTTTTCCTTCTCCACCTTCCTTTTTGGTATCACCGTCTCTCATACTTCTTTGAGAGAGTCTCCAGTAACTTCTGTGTTGGAACATACTGTCCATACGGGGGAATGACTTCACCGAGCATAAAACAATCCTCAGCCCAGTTCACCTGAAGCAAGGCGAGTCCTGGAAACTCCTTCTTTACTTGTGCTGCCTCAATCATGACATCACTTTTCTTTTCGCCTTGACCGTACAGTACGTGAGTAACAGATGATCGTAATAATTCTGGAATACTACCTTCTGATAAGCTGATAATTGAACCACCACAAGATTTGAGTGCTTGCGTTACTTCTGGATCTGATTCAAGAGAAGGAGTCAGAAGAAATTTCATACCACTGAAGAGAAGTTTGTCTACATGGTTATGCCTCTGTTCACATTTAAGAATCTCAATGTTTGCCAACCGCTCACGTTTTTCACGTTCGTCATCATATTGATTATTATCATCATCACCCAGATTTTTGGATCCCAATGTATCACAAACAGCTTTAAATATATTAACATTGGTGTACTGGTAGTCTTGTAATTCAAAGAATGGAGGAAGGTTTGCATCGGCTCCCAATGGAATATCTTTACCAGCCCCAATTGAACTTTTTTTCTTTCTTTCAGCTGGAAAAGATGTTGGAATAGCATACTCTTCCACATTCATAAGATAATATGGATGCTGATGGTGAGGAAGAACTGTACCTTTTCCTGCTGGCTGCGCTACGGCAGGAATAGAATTAAGACGGTAAAGTGCAGTGTGAATCTGACGAGATTGAAGGAGACAGTCAAGCATCCATGTAACTGGTACTGCAGGAACACTGTTATCATTTTCCACACACTTTCGCACCTTGTCACTTCGTTCATATCCTGTACGATAGATCAGTAAATTTATTTGGGTAAGATCAAATGGAACCACGCATATAGCTCCGTGGCGTTCAGCCATACGCCATTCCACGGCGTGACTTGGGTGTTTAAGGGTTCGAGGAATAACACCATTAAAGTGTATTTTATATCCGGCAAAAATTTGTGGCACACCCTGGCGATCCATTGGACGGGCATACAAACATACTTGACAATAAGTGTTTTCTTTGGAAACTTCAACTGAACAATTAGGGCAAAACCAGCCCATTACTGACACTGTAGCATCAAGAGGATCCATTATGGCTGTCAGGTTGTCTCAATTTGTATGTATATATATTTGTTTCTTTGTTTGTGTGTATATATATACAAGAATAAATATATATCTTTTATTTAATTTTTCTGAATTCTTCAAAAAATTCTACTCTCAGTAGAAAAACAGGATATAATTATTAGACAAACGAAAAGAAGAAGAAGAAGAAAAAAGAAGAAGATAATGTTATAGTAATAACCACAAGCAAAACCAAGTTTATATATATAGGACTGTGTGTACCAATACTTTTTTTTTTCAATTCCATTTTTTTTTTCTTTCCAAAAGTATTTGCAAAGCATTACCCCAAAATTTGCACCCCTTATCTTCATATAGTATACATTGTATTCGTCTTTTCATTTCCAATAGGTTTTAACCTTGGTAGCGTTCGAGCTGCTTTCAATGGGAATTGTGATTCTGTCACATGTTGCAGAACCTTTGGTGGCATAGGCCGCCATCGCAGCAGTCGTTGGACCATTTCCTGTTCAGATGTCGCAAAGTCGGTGTCTGCGGGTTTTGGCAGACTTCTCTCGTACCGCAGAGTTTCGGCGCACTTCTCCCGCTCCGCCTGTTCCTGCGCCTCCTGCCGGCGAAGCCCGACTTCGGCCAAATTGTCGACGAGAGATCTTTGCTGCCGCCGCAGGGCATCCACCTGCACTTGGGCCACCCGGAGTTGTTCCCGCTTTGTTTCAATATCGCGTAGTAAGACCTCCATCGCCTGATCGTGTGTGGAGAGAATAACTTCCTCCGGGCCAACGTCAAGATTGTTTTCGTAAATTTCCTCCTCTTGATCGGAGGTGAGCATGCAGCGTTTGATGCTGCGACCAGAGCAGAGCTCAAGGTTTTGCATCTCCGTGTGGTAGGTCTCAAAGCGGAAGGCCACACGAATATCCGAGAGATGTGTACGCAGGGGATCATTGCCTAAGGAAGAACTCATATACCAATGATCACCAATAGCTTCACGTTTAAACATATAGTCAAATCCACACTGTAATACAGAATTACGGGCAATTTCACATAAATCATTCGGAGAAAGTCCCCATACACGAGCTGCTATACTATACTCTTCAATTAATGGTTCTCGTGTTTGGTGAAACATAAGTGGATCATCTGTACTCAAAGAAACATTTAAACCTCTTCGAAAAAATTCAGGAAATGGATTTTCAAGAAATCGTAAAAATAATGCATTATTACTTAGTGGTGAAACATGTAATCCAATTTGAGATAAATAATATAAATACTGCATAGGAGAATCACTACGAAGATTAATACCGTGACAAATACTGTTAGCGCAAAGAAAAGCTCCGTAGAGGTGTTCTGCTGAACCAGATTCACCACAATGAGGACGTAATGCAAAGGTTGAAAATCCACGTGAAGCCCTAAATTCATTAAGTGTACGTATATTTGCATATAAATAATATAAATAGTAATTATACGGTGGATTTTCTACAGATGTCCATGCCCATGGTGAAATTGGTACAAAAGGAAGATCAAGTGTTGCCTCATTATCAACAGAGTCAAATCCACTCATATGATTTAAGAAATGATGAACCAATGGATGTTCAGAAGGATGTAATGAAGCTTCCCAAAGAGGTTGAAATATATTTTGTAAATATTGACCAAAACTTCCAATAATATTTTGAGCTCGAAAAACTTTATATACACGAGGTACTTGAATAATCCATTTATTATGCTTTGATGCCATACCATGAGTAGAAAACCACAGAGCTAAATTATCCCATTCTTTGATATTTATACCATATATAGAGACTCGATTTTCAGCATAAGTATATCGATCTCTTAAATATTGAGCAAAAACATCTTGAATTAATTCAGCAAAATAGCGTCCTTTCATAAAATTATCTGTCTTAAGTAAGAGAGAACGAAGTTCTGAATTTTCCATTGGGTTGTATTTATTATTAAAATTATCAAATCGTTCAAATAATGTATGATCTGCCTGTACATTAAGTTGATCAACCGTCAAATTTTGAGTAATTCCATTTTTCTTAAAAAAATGTCCAAGGGTATGAATAATATCTCCCTTTTTGGTCGCAATATCATCACCACTGTAAATAAGTTTTCTTATAATGAAACTTAACAATTGTCTTCCTGTCATACCAGCTGCCATATGAATATGAGTATCAACTTTTACGGCTTGATAAATATCACGATTAGAAGATACACGATCTATTGTAGTTCCTGCTTCATTTCCATGATTAAGAGCTAAATGAAGACGAAATTTATGTTCTAGATTTTCTAATCGTTGATGAGCATAATCTTTTACTTCTGTACTTGCACAAATTGCATAAAGTTCCTTTAAGTCATTACGAAAAGCTTCTAATGTCGGAAGATGTCTAGGCCATGCATGTACCGCATTCTTTGGGAATGAAATAAAAACAGCATCACTTGCCGCATAAGTCCAATCATCTTCATTAAAACTATCTGTTTTTCGTTGAAAATCAGCTTCTACTGTTCGACGTTGTCCGACAACTTCCCATGGATTGGGTGGTTCCCAAATATATTTAAATCTCATATCAAGTGCCCGAGCAATACGAGGAGCGGCACTAAGAGCCGATTTTACTTCTTTATGAGGTCCATTTAATACCGTACGGGGAAAACGAATACGAGTATCTAACACGGTATTATATTCTACTTCCTTTACATTGCTAAGATAATGCCAACGGCTAAGAGCTGTGGTTTCATCTACGACTCCTCGATTAATATACAAATCTTTTAGCATACCACGTTCTAAACTCCATGCTTCTTCACGAAAAGCAAGTCGTACATTCGTTACTTGACTTAATTCAAATTCGTTACCTTCTACTCCACATTTATACTGTTCTCCTAACCATTCTTTTTTACGTTCAGGAGGAAAGGATGATATCATAACACTATTACGAGCAAGTTCGGTTACATCAAGAAAGCTAAGACGAAGCATTTTCATCGCGGTTCCATATTCTTCAAGAAGTGAATTTGAATTATGATGAAAAAGAAGTGGGGCCTCAGTAGCTATGGCAACATTAAGACAACGATGTAAAAGATTTGGAAGTGGATGTTCTTGATATGGTACAACAGATTGAATATGATCACGTAAGGGACTTACCGTAAGACCTACACCATGTAAACCACATAAATACTGTAAAACTGGAAAATCCATAATTTTTGTAGCGCGAGTAATGACATCACCTAAAAGATATCCAGCTAAAAGATCACTTTGACTACTTTGATTACCACCACAAAAACGTAGTTGAAAAGTATTCAATCCTTTACGTCTTCGTAAACTGTTTAATACAGTTAAATTAGCATACATATAATAAAAATAATATAATCCATTAGGTCTATTACTACCATAAGGTATTTCACTAGGAATAGGGGCTTTTTCATCAAAATCGGCTTCTACTGCAGCAGCTGATGTACCAATCTGAAATCCACCAACTTGTTTTAGGAACCAAGCAATAGAAGTGTATTTTGTACCTGTAGGTGAAATAGTTGCTTTAAATAATGGTAGAAAAATAAAATCTAATTGGTCTTGAATTGTTTTACAATATACAGGAAAGTTTATCTCAGATGGTGGATCATACATAAAACGAACATTAAGTATCCACATATTACGTCTATAAGGTCCAACATTTGACCTATGTAAAACGGTAGCGATATCTGCTAACTCATTAGAGTATGTACCATAAAGTGGAATAGAGTATTCAGTTGCTTGAACGTAATGCATATTTTGATCAGCTTTCTGTAATCGTTTCTGTAAAAGACGTGGTGTACATGAACCCCGTAAGTGAAGAAAACTATATCGTAATTCAGCACTAAGAGGAGATGGATCAAGTGAATAATCTTCATTTTCAGTATTACCAAGTTTAGGTTGCCATCCTAAACTTTCTACAGTAAGATGTGAAGGATCATCTACCCCATTTGATTGAAAAAGTTCACGTAGTGTAGAGTTTGTACCATTACGAAGACGCAAAGGTGCATCGGGGTATCGATTATACCAATCAATAATAATATCTAAAAGTTCTTGGGCATCAATTGAACGTGCTAGTACAACAGAATTATCTACTTTAGTAGACTTAGCTAAAACACCACCTGCTTTACGAAAATTCTGTTTTTCCTCAATATCTGCATTAAGAAGAAAAAACATTCTAGATCGTTCTTGTATAATATTAAGTCGATGTGAACATGCCTTAATACAACTGGTGTTACTAACCGTCAGCCGAAGATGCTGTACATCCGATGCGAAGGTACTCCATGACTGCAATGAGTACATGGGAGAAGGTTGGTGATCTGAGACTTGATAAATTCCTTCTGCTTGAGTGATAGTCACACGACGTGGTAATCGCGGCATGTGAAATCGTTCATTTACTTTTTTATAATGCGGCCGCATACGCAGTGCTGATTCAATGCGTTCATGTACTTTTCGAATCTCCACACCACCATCATCACCATCAATGACGACTTTAAACATATGAGATTCCTGCAGCTGGTACTTCAACAAGGGATTATTACCATGACTGATGGTGATTTTTTGTCGCATGGGGGAATGAACTTCGCCTGGAAAACCGGTTGAACGATTGGTCTCTTCAGAGCTGCGGCGAGACCCAATGTCTGTTTCAGGATCACTCATACTGTTTCTACGAGCACTATTGTACATCTTTTTCTCTCTTCTTTCTCTTCTTTTTTTTTCTTTTGCTTCTCTTGTCGTTGTTGTTTTTTTCTCTTTGTTTTTTTTTTTTTTTTCTTTTGGTATGGATGTGAGTGTGAGTGTCACCAATGAAGGCACTCGTCAGAGAGGCCTTTCAAAATAAATAAATAAACATCAAAAACAAAACGGAATTGAAGAAGAGGAAGAAGAAACGTGAAAGTCATAAACAATAAAGTAGAAAACAATCAATTTCCAAAGAACAAATGGAGTACAACTGAAAAATCAATGAGAGTAAAAAAAAAAAATGACAATTTACAAAAAATGTCAAGGAGCACCCAAGAGGGGGGAAAAATAATAATAATAATAATAATAATAATAATAATAATAATAATAATAATAATAATAATAATAATAATGAGATGCATCCGAAAACAAACATACTCGCACATACACTAATAGAGAAAGAACGAAAAAAAAAAAAAGATAAAAGCACAGCTAACAGTTGTCAACTACAACGCAGTTTGTTCATATCGTGAAATCCGTCCACGTGAGAAGGAACGCCAGAAGAACACAAACATAAAAAAAAGTATAACTCCATGAAGCGACCACAAGCAAGATGATATTAACAACATGATAAATGCGGGAACCTTACCTGTTCGTCCAAATGCTATTATCCATCCACATCCACCAAAGCCAGGTACACCAACAGCCATCCAGGCATCAAATCCCAATCCAACAAAAATACCAAAACAAGCTAAAAGATGACGTGGATACGATTTATCGAGAACTGCACAATATGCATTATAATACCATACAATAAAAGCACCTGGAATACCGAGTAGATACAAAAATGAAAGACCAAAATGCATGGCGCTACCACCAAGAAGAAAGTTTACCAATGCGCACACAAGATTGTAAATAATAAGAATAATAGTTGTTATATACAAAGTACAAAGTATATACATAAACCTCTGATGCTGCACAGGTATTTGTTCTCTAATATTGTGATATATTTGGGGTTTGATGCACAAAAACTCCGGTGGAAAGTTTGGTGGAGGTCCCACTTCCGATGTAATTTGTCGTTGTCGTTGTCGAATAGCTTCATGACGAGCCGCCAACTCCTTTTCCTTGGCCTCTACCATACTCAACGTGAGATTTGGTGGAATCTGAGTTGAATTTGATTGGCTCATTTTTCTATTATTTTTTTTCTGGTGTTTTTTTTTTTTTTTGTTTTTTTTTTAATTTTTTTTCTTATGCTAACCTACTGTAAAAACACTTCTATATGTGTATATATACAAGGAGAAAAAAAAAAAAAAAATGACACTGTCAATACGGTTGAATTGCAAAATGAAAACAACAAGCAAACACCAAGAAAAAAAAGAAAGTTTTATAACATTCCAATCCCTTTTATTCTTACCATAATCTACAGAAATACGCAAACAAACAAACAAAAAAAAAAAAAAGAATTCCAACTTACACCAAACTCCGGAAGAATGAGAAACAGCTGTACACTGTACGTACAACAATCATAGTGGATACCACAAAACAAAGATGCACTTCCTGATGATAAAACCACTCACAACAGGCAATAATGATCATTCCACTCAGAATAAACAAAGCACTAGTAGATGAAGGTGGTTTACCCACAGGGGTAGAAAGACCTATTAATATCGTTAGTGTACGCATTAAGTGATAGAATTGTGTTGGATATTTGGTTCCTTCAGTCAGAAAAATGGAAGTGATACGCTCATCATAAGCCAAAAAAGAAAGAATTCCACAAACAAGTACCCCTAATGTTACTTGAGGAGATCGCCAAGATAATAGAGAGTCTAGCAATTTGAATAATACCCGAAGCCCGTTAACTGGATTAGCAGACATACTTTTATCACTTGATGACAAAAGATCTTTTGAATTCATTTCGGATAATTTATCTTCCTTTTGTTTTCTTATTATTGTGTGATTTTGGTCTATTTTTTGCTTCCCTGTCTCATTCGCGCCAACTAAGCCTACATCACTTCCCGCACATACTCGCTGCAGTCCTGTACTTGATACCTGTATAGCTTCGGGAGTAAAACCCTCGCCCAAGGATACAAGTGCAGTATCTATGCCAGTAATATCTTTTACAACACCGAGTACCTTCAAAGGAGGCAATTTCGACAGAGTCACCTCTACCACATCACCGACTGCAATACTTGACATTCACTGCAAAAGGTGACGGGATCCTTACAATTATACAGCCTTTAAGTACAAGAGAAATACAAATAAGAAAAAAACAGAAAAAAATAAAAACTAAAAAAAAAAAACATTGTACGTTTTTGTATGTCACCAATGCAAATCCCCATACCTCGAGGATAAGCAAGAAGGAGAAAAACAAACAAAAAAAACCAATAGAAAAAAAAAAAAAACCTTCCGCTCCAAATGAAAGAGCCTTTCAAAGTAAACGATTTCATTTATATTTTTTTCTTTCCACGGTTTATCGTGAAATAATTAATACGAGGAAAACACATGGAGTAAATAATATAAATAAATGAAAATAAGAATAGAAGCAAATAAATAAACATATAAATAATAATAATAATAATAATAGTAATAATAATAATAATAATAATAACAATAATAATATTGTCTTTGGTAATCTCATCTCATCATTATACCGCTTTACGAGAACATCTTTTTCAAGCCAGCAGCCAACTTTGCATTACGTGCTTTCTCTGCATCCTTAGCCTGTTGAAGTTTTGCCGCGATTTCAGCGTTATCCTTATCTAGGGTTTGAGCTTTAGTGAAATCCGTCACTGCAGACTCTGTGTCACCAGAACTCAGATTAGCAACACCGCGACGGAAAAGTGCCTTGGAGTTGGATGCATCAATATCAAGAACCTTTGTAGCAGCTTTTCGGGCTTCAGACCAGCGACTCAGTTTTATCGCACATGCAGCTGTATTATTATAGCATGCAACCAATTTTTCATCAATAACCGTCGCATTTGCTGTTGTTTTATTAACAGTATTTAGATAACGAACCGCCTTTTCATACTTTTCCATAGCATTTTCAAAATCCCCAGCCTTAAAGAGATTATTCCCGATTTGGCGAATATCCTCTCCTGCCTGCAGCAGTTCGGCCTCCCCCAGGGCGGGGGAGCAGTCCTCTGGGTAGTCTGGGTGCATATCACCGCCCACCTGCGGCTCCGGCTCCGGCAGGGTGTCCATCACCCCGCAGTCGTCAATCACGCACGGCTGCACGGGCTTGTCGTTCGCCCCCGTCTCCGTGTGCTCCAGCGCCCGCACGGTGTTCATTCCACGCACCACTTTGCCAAAGACAACGTGCCGTCCAGTGAGGTGGTGGGCCGCGTTCACGGTGATGAAAAATTGGGATCCGTTAGTATTGGGTCCGGCGTTTGCCATCGCCAAGAGGCCAGCCTTATCACAGGGGACATCAAAGTTTTCATCCTCAAAGCGTTCACCATAGATGGAAACTCCACCCGTACCATTGTGGTTCGTGAAGTCACCTCCTTGGATCATAAAACCAGCAATAATTCTGTGGAATGTACTGCCTTTGTACGTCATTGGAATGTGTGTTCCCTCTGTCACTTTGCCTTCATTTCCAGTACATAAGGCACGGAAATTAGCGCATGTTTTTGGTGTGACATCGTCAAACAGCTCCAAAATAATTTTTTCTTTTTGTACCTTACCACCAATGGAAACTTGAAACCAACAGAGTTTACCCATTTGCCTTGCAATTACCCTTTAATTTGAATCTTACTCAAGTATAATAATCTACCAATAAAGAAGAAAAAAAACAAAAAGAAAAAGAAAAAAAAAAAACATTTCAAAGATGGTCTCTTCTCACATACTCTTTCAAGGGAAAACAAAAAGGATAGACATAAACATAAAACATGGTAAACAAATGAAGTAATTTAAACAAAAATATCTAGAAAAGACCTCAACCTTATATCCCTGAAAAGGGGAAAAAAAAAATCTTTTTTTTTCATGATTACCACATTCTATGAAAAAGGGTACAAGAACTGTTGTAGTACGAAAAAAAGGGAGAATTCCCCTGCTCTATCATGCAATACCTAACCTCCTGCAGCACACATATCTTTTCTTTTTTTCTCTTTTCATCTTGGTTATGAGAGTATTTCTCTTTTTCTTTTTCTAGTTGTGTGTTTGTATGCTTTTTTTTTTTCTTTTTTGCATCGGAGTAAGGTAAAGCTTCTTATTTCTGCACCTTTTCTACATGTACACCTTTCATCCCTCCCTAATGAGGAAAGGGAATTACATGAGGCCTTCAAATTGATCTAGAAAACGTACTTTTGCATTCCAAAGTAAGACACAGCTGCCAGGACTGCAGCTGCTGCCTCATAGCCACAATTCGTGAGCAACAATGGCAGGGGACGTTGACTCCAGAAGGAATCGTGCAGATTTATACAAGAGAGTAATGCGATCACCACTGCAGCCTGCTGATAATCGTTGAAAGTATGACCCCCACAAACAGTCACCATCACTTGAACAGAGACAGCACGAAGAATACCTGCGGCAATTGTTGTCGAGTTGCAGAAGAGAAAAGAATACCGGTGAACAATGTGTTCCACTCTTCGTACACCTTTGTCAGCAGCAAGGTAGTAATCCCCAACATTCTTGAGGATACAACCAAACCACAGAAAAGCAAACACCTCTTGAATAATGGCACAGGCCAATACAGCCCATGGGTTAACACTCTGAAGTGCCGTCCAAAGCAAGGCGTTTACAGACATTGGCCAAGAAAGGAGAAGAACACAAACTGATCTGGGAAAAAATGTAACACAGAAGAAAACCTTTCTTTTCTTTTTTTCTTGTATTGTTTTGTAATAATAATAATAATAATAATAATAATAATAATAATAATAATAATAATAATAATAATAATAATTACGAAAGAAAGAAGAGAAAAAAAAAGGAGAAATAATAACCACAAAACAAAAAAAAAGTGATAACGTCAGGAGTAAAGAAGAAGAATAAAAACAATATTTTCTTTTCTTTTTTTTTTTTACTTTATCATTGCATCCAGAGCAGCAACACCTGCAGTTGGGGACTGAAAAGATCTTTTATACATGGTGAAAGAAGAAAAAAAAAAACACAAGGGTGGTCTCCAAACCTCCCAAAATCTTTTGTTTCTTCATTTACATTTCGTTGTTGACACCCAACTTTTGCAAAAAAGGAACCAACGAAAGAATTCGTTTCGCGTAACTGCCCTCAATATCAAACCACAGAAGGAGTTTGTGAGCACTCCCATCACGAAGACACTGAGAACTTATTGCATCATAATAAAGTTTACCATTTGGTAAGCAATCACGATTAATGAGATCTTCCTCTGAGTATAATAATGCTTCACTGAGTCGACCTGATGCAGCTTCTTTCAGAGTTGTATCCAATACTTCTTTTGAGACAGGTTGAGCAAACCGCACAATCATGTCTATAGCACACCCCTTTACCACAGGGACTTGAAATGCGCTTCCTGATATATACTCTGCGAGTGTAGGCATAATTTTTTCCATTGTTTTCTTTCCTGTTTGAGTACAAGGGATAATAGCATCCAATGCTGATCTTTTCTGACGCCATTCTTGTGGATTTTTTGACTTTCCCATAACGGAATCCCCTTTTTGTATACCGTGTAAAGCAGTATAAGAGCATTCATCTATCATGTACTGTTCATGGAGAATTCGAATAAGAGGTGCGAGGGCCACGGCGATTGGGGATCCAGCACAAACCACAGGATGTGTTTTTTTCATATTCATTTCGTTTACTCCCAACACAACTGTCGGAGCATCGGCGCTCTGTCCAGCAATAATAACACCATGTGCCCCGCCAGTGATATGACCCCAACAGCGTTCTTGTGTAGAGTTGAGACCAGTGCACTCCAACACATAAATCACACCCGCATCATGCCATCCAATTTCAGCAAGATCATGCTTCTGTGTAACACGAATCTTACGGTTTCCATGAATACAAATGTATTCTCCAACCACCACAACGGAAGATTTTTCTTCTACAGAAAGAGGGCTTTCATGTCGTAAAAGATAGGCCATGTATTCAATATTCATAGAAGCATCATTTATCGCCACCACATTTACCAGAGGATCGGTGAATGAAGAGAAGAGGACGGATTGTCCAATGTCTCCAAAACCATTAATACCCACACCAATTGGCATGGTAACATCTGCCATTTTTTTTTTCTTTTCTATTTACTCTTACACCAGGTTATGTATTCGTATTGTTCTTTTTCTTTGTGTTGATTTTCTTAGAGTATCCCTATACTTCCACTACTATAAAGACAGCTAAGAGAAAAGTAAAATAAAGTAAATGACATTAAACGTTATTCCATCAAATAATAATAATAATAATAATAATAATAATAATAATAATAATAATAATAATAATAATTTATATATCGAAGGAAAAGGCAGCCATATAAAGAAGGTCAATTAAGTAAACAAATAAAGAAAAAAAAAAATCCTCCCCACCCCCTCTTCCTGCGGGTCCTCAGGATACACAAGACGTATTTTCCCTTTCCCCCACCCCGCTACTACTATTTCTATCGTATATGCCAATGATTCAAAGACGGGAAAATTAGGTGTCAATAACTATTTATATATATATATTTATGTAATATATCAACAGAAGAAAAAAAAGAAAAAAAAATACAGAGCATAAGAATAAAGTACGGAAAAATTGGAGGCATCCCAATTCAACACTTTATTGCTATCATCATGCTAATTATCACCTTATATACGACGGTGACGATACTTTGCTACTAACACTCCAGATAACAAAGCAATCATTGAGGAAGCTATACACACCCATACAAATGAAGATTGCTTGTTTCCTAAGGTAACATATGGTTCTCGTGCAAGGCTCCCTGCAGTTGCGAAAGAGTCTTCCATAAATACCATATAATTTTCATCTCGTACAATTTCTTCAGAGAGAAGTAAACAAATATGTTTTCGCCCACACGAGACATTGACAACTTTTGCCTTTCTCGGTAGTGAAACTTCTGTTAATTTCTCAACAAAAGCTATATCGCCTACACCAAGTTGCCTATGACGATTATATCCACAAACTAGTAATTTACTACCTGCATCTGTCCATACAAGATTGTTATCTTCTCCAGCTGCAAGACCTTCCAAATTAGGCACATTAAATGATGTTAATTGCATAGAAAGTTCTATACACCGATTTTTTTCTAATTGATGACATAAAGTATGACGAGAACCACATGCAACATAGGAAACACGTCCTACATCTCGAATAGGTCTCCAGATATGGGTACAATGGTCACTAATTCCTAACTGACCGTTAGCATTGCTTCCTGAACCAAGTATCTCACCTGTTGTCGTAACGAGAATTGCAAAGTTCACAGAAGCAACTACACGTGCTATTCGTGTTCGTGTTGAGCCAAATGATAGACGAGTTGGGTTAGCTAACGCTGGTGAAGACCATGATGCAATACCCAACATACCAGTAGTCGTTTCTCCCCATCCGAATAAGTCTCCATCATTTGTAATAGCATATGATGTTCGTGCACCACAAAAGATATCTCTTACACTTTCATCAAGAAGTACTCGCTTAAGTTCAAAACATTCGCCATGGTATGTTCCATCTCCTCGTTGTCCACAAGAACCTTCACCACAGCTGTAAATTTCTCCAGATGAAGTTAAAAATAGAGAATGTGATTTACCACAGGAAACTTTTACGATGGGTTCCTTTATCTGAGTTTTAATAAGAGTAGGGCGTTCAACAATTATCTCAGAAAGTGCAAGCTGGCCAGAATTGTTTCGTCCCCATCCATAAACATTTCCCTCATTGGTAACGGCCAAGGTGTAATCAGCACCACAACATATCTGAACAATATCACCTTCAATATCTAATACTTCAAAAAAAGAAAAGTCACCCCCTCTTCCCAATTGGCCATAGCGATTTGACCCAGCTGTAGCCACTACGGGCATCCTTTTCATATCGATAAAAAAGAATAGATAATATACATCAAAGTATTCATGAGACCATCATCAAATATTATATTACCCTCTTGAAGAAGTAATAATACAAAAATAATACAATTGAACTGAAGTAGAATAAAATATAATACAGATATATATATATATCACAGATGCAAGATAAAATAAAACCAATATTTCAATAATAATAAAAAAATATTAGTTACAAATATGTAAACTTCGCTATTGATTCACAAGTGATTCACGTTCACGTAACTCATTCTTCATTTGTTGAAGTGTTGCTTCAGCTAAGGATTTTAACTGATCTTCTTTTTGTTTCAATTGACGTAATTGATTTGTTATCCGCAACTCAGCATCGTTTACTTGTCGGATTTTTTCAACAAGTTCATCTTCTTGTTTACTAAGTTGTTCTAATTGTTGCTGAAGACGGTTCATTCGTTGATGATGATCTAATTCTGTCGCCGCTACCTCTTCTTCTAGCAAACGCCATTCATTATCTAAAGCGTTATCAATATGCTCAAATTTAATAGCAGCTTTCCTTTTTTCTCCATCTAAAAAGGTTCGTCTTATATTCCGTTGCTTATTAGCTTCTTCTAGAGCAGCTTTTCGAGATGCCATATATCGTTCCTTTTGCACTAATAATCGTTCAGTAGCATCATTTTCATTAGCAAGCTCAATTAAAGAAGCTTCCAATTGAATACAGACACCCTTTTTTTCTTCAAGTTGGGATCGACGATGACGAACTACAGTCGCTCGCTTTTCCAAATTACTATTCCATGCATACAATCGGCTCTCTTCAACTTTAGACATTTGAACTGTACCACACAAACAACTAACTTATTTCTTTTAAATAAGAAATAACGCGCAAACAAATAAAAAACCAAAAAAAAAATTTACACATAAATATATTATTACATAAATTTTACACAATAACAACAACAAAAAAAAAAAACAGAACATGTTTGAAGTTAATTCAAACTCCTCCAATACCATTACATACAATATTGTATAAGGGTAAGAAGAAAAAGAAGAAATTCCCAAGCAAAGAAAAACGCATAAATACTTATAGTGGATTCCCCTCTCCAACCCCTCAACGCTATAGGAACGCAAAGTATGTAAAGGTGCATTTACCCCATCCTCTTTTTATCAACTTCAGTTTCGATTTCACTATTTGTTTAGAATTACGTCTTATCGCTCCCCAGGAACCATATTTCAACGCGTTACCGTGGCCTCTGGTATAAAGATATATATATTATTTTTTTTTTTTTGCACGAAATAATAATAATGATAATAATAATAATAATAAAGATTATGATAAATACACTTTCATCAATATTCTATTCGATAAACTTTTTGTATTCTTCGGCTGTCATAAGACCTTTGGGAATTTCGCTGCATTTTACCTTGATAAGCCAGCCCTCAGTTTCTGCAGAACGGTTGATAAGGGCTGGTTCATCCTTTACCCTATCATTTACAGAGTCCACAACACCGCTCACTGGAGAGTAAACATTGCTGGTAGCCTTTACACTTTCCACCTCACCAAATACTTCCTTTGCCTCCAATTTATCTCCTACATTGGGAAGTGCAACATACACCACATCACCAAGACTTTCTTGCGCATGATCAGTTATTCCAACAGTGGCCACACCATCATTATGTTCTACCCACTCGTGGCAATCCGTAAAATAACGAGTTCCATACAAACGTTTGGACGCAACAACGGCAGCGATGGGTAGTCGAAAGGCACGACGCATAATTATAACACAAAAAAAGGATAGAAAGAGATACAAGCTAAAAAAAAAAGAAGAGAAATTAATAATAGTAATAATAATAATAATAATAACATTATCAGATTAAGAAATATTGAGAAATCACAGCCAGTTTACATATTGAATAGCTTCAATAGTTTATTTTTTTTTTTGTTGTTGTTTTAACGAAAAAAAAAAAAAATCCAGTTCATCACAAATCGCCTTTAACAGCATCATCATCAGATTCTTGGGGATTACGTGTTTCAGTGTTGTTTTGTGTTTCCTGGCGCACAAGGTCTTTTAATTCTTTCAATTTTTTTTCGTACTCCTCTTTCGTACAAGTTTCATAACTTCCTTCTCCATCTTCAAGCCACTCTTGTATCTCTGACAATTTTCCTTTTAGTCGATCAATTTCGACTTCACTTAGCAAGCTTAAGAAACTTGTGTTTTCTAAAACACCCTCTCGTTTTACCCAAAACACATATGTTTCTAGGTTGTTTTTTGCGGTGGCTGCTTCATGTTTTCTCCGCTCCTTATCAAGTATATCAAGAATTTTTTTTCTTGATTTTTGAAAATTCTCTTCACTTAATAATGAAGGATTTACAAAACGAACCTTTGTAGAAAGTGACATGGTCTCACGTTTCATTTTCACAACTTGTTTTACTTCTTCAGTAGTGTTAGGCAGTTCATCTGTAGTATTAACCTTAACTTTAACTGAAACATTCACAGCATAACGAATAATAACATCTGCCTCTTCAACTTCAAAAAGACCAGACTCATTTAGTAGTAATTGAATACGAACTATATGAGTATTATTTGGATGATCAAAATCAGATTTTTTCTCTTGCAACAATTTTAATGCCTCTTTTACACCAGTTACAGAAATCTCACCCACAAAATCTTGAGAATCAAAAAGCTGAATAGAAAAATCATCTGTTCGATTAAGAGTAATACTTTTTCGTGAACCTATGATAGGTTGTTCAACAAGTACGCGTTTAGATACAGAAGAGTTATTCAAGGATGGTGTAATAGTAAAAAAGAATTTAAAGGGGATATGTTCCACTACACGAAAAGATCGAACACGGTAAAATGGAGATAATCGAAGGGCATAATAAGCTGCACCTATTGCAGCTGATTCATCTGAATTCAAAGTTCTATCTACTTCTCTTCCCAAAAAAGTAGAAAGATCAGCTAATATTTTTGGAGTTCGAGAAGTACCTCCCATCATTTCAAAAGCATCAATATCCTTTAGATCTAATCCTGATTTTTTTAAAGCTTCTTCTGCAACTTTAGGTACACGTTCAAATAATTCAGAACATTTTTCTTCAAAATCTTTTCTTGTTATTTCAGTATGAAAATCTCTATCTGGTACTATACCTTCAACAGTTACAGGAGTTTTACTATTTGCTGAAAGCACTTCTCGAGCTTTTTTTGCGGCACGAAGTAAAGAAAATTGTGATTTTCTCTCAGCTACTGTTTTTCCACCAATTACTTTACCTATTTTCATTTTAGCCATCGCTTCTTTTTCTAATAATCTTGAAATGCACAAATCGAATGCTCTACCGCCCAGAAAATTATCATCTACAACAGACATTGTAGTTAATGTACCAAAACTATCAGCACTTTTTATTTTTTTCCCACCCTCTTGAACTGGAGGAGAGAATTTGTAAATACCAACTTCTGTATGAGTAGATCCAATATCATAAATAAGTAAATTAATTGTTTTATTTTCAAATCCTCGTCTACGAACACCATAGTAAAGGGCAGCAGCGGTTGTACTATGCATTAATCCCATGACGTTCAGTCCTACCATACGAGCCGCTTCCAATATTATTTGTCGTTTTCCTAATGAGGAATGAAAAGGAACTGTAACTACAAAATTTTTAGGATCATTCACACCATCTTTTTGTGCAATATTTTGACAGTAATGAAGCATCATAGCATACAATTCCTCAACAGTATAATTACCATCTCGTCCTCCAAAAGAAAATCCAACTGTATTATCTTCTTCATGACGAGTTTCAAATTCGTATTCAAGTTTTTTAAAATTTTCAAAATCTGTTGAATTATACGTAACTCCTATCAGTTTATTCATCATAGTTACCATATTAAGTGGGAAACGAGCAGCTAAAGCCTTTGCCTGATCACCAATATATCTATCACCATTTCTAAACCCAATATAGCTATCAGTTTTCCGATGTGACTGCTCATTTAGGACAATATCAACATTATTTCCGGTATGAGGGCCTGCAACTTCGATGTAATCAGATCCAAAATCAATTCCTACATTTGCATAGGATATCGTACAAAGGTAGAAAACTGCAACGAAGAAAAATATGATTCGCATTTCTCTTTTTCTTTTGGGGTATAAATAAATAAATAAACAAACAAATAATCAAATATATATATTTAGTTTATTTATTTATTTATTTGCGAATAAATATAAGAATTTATTTATTTAT